AATAATAATAAAATATATTATAAATAAATTGAATTTTAAAAAAATTATATATAATACTATCCAGATAGATTAAAATAAAATTCAGTATATTTTATTAATTAATTTTAAAATAATAAAAGTAAATCAATTAAGATTTTATTAAATTAATAAATGTAGAAAGTATTGACATTATATATTTATTTATAACATTGATTTAAATAACAAAAATATTTACAATTTAAACTATTCAAAGAAAGAAGGTTCTCTGTTATCATTATTAGATTTTGATAAATCTTTGGTTATTTTTATTGATTCATACTTAAAAAGAATTTCTTAAGATACATTTTATACAATTTTATAATGATTTTTATTAACATTTATTAATTATCCATATATATTATATAAAAAAGTCATTTCTTGTTGCTAATATATATATTATATATCCGATTCAATAACAATAAATACCTTATAATTTAGGATATCTTTTTTGATTTCAATTTATTCATTTTTCAAATCCTAATTCTGCTTGATAAGATCAATAATTGTGTGATTGGGTTTACATTGGATATTAATATTAACTTATTGCTTTTGTTAAATCTACTAATTCAATTATTAAGGTATTTTATTTTTAACTTGATTAGGAGGCTAAGGAAATTATTTATTTTTTGATTTTTTTTTAGATTGCTTTTGGTGGTTAGTTATCAACAGGAATGCAATTTTGAAAAAGAAACAGATGCTAATAAAGACTTTATATCTAGGAATAGGTAATTAGAGAGACCTACTGATGCAGAAGATAAAAAAAGTGTATACATTTTTTTAGCATGAGGGGTCTGGTAATTCATATTTTAATATTATATCAACTCTTTATTTCTGGTCTAACAATTGTTTCTGGCTTAAAATATTAAGTAGATAAATTGCATCCTAAAGATGCTAATTATCCAATAATCATTCTACAGATGGCTGGAAGTGAGACATGTTTTAAGTGTGGATCCATTTCTTATTTCACTTTAGCTATTTATATATATATATTTATATATATGTACCTATTTCATAAACTTATTACAATGATATAGTATCATACCATATATAACCAGGGAAATTTGTGAATTTATCAGTACCTATGAGTAAGATTATTAAATTCAATCATACCTGTTGCTTTTCTAAGAAACCAAGTCGTTTCAGGTGGTTTGATAAGAAATTTGAAAGTTCTATCTGGAAAGGCAATAACCTAAACTCTAAGTGGAACATCTGGTCTAAAAGCTTAACTTGCAGCATTAAATTCCTTGCAAAATTGCATCATATTAATTCCCAATGGTCCCAATGATTAACCCATTTTAGGACTTGGTTTAGCAACACCAGCATAAAGTCTTAACATGATTTTGGCTCTGTAATCTTTTGGGAGGGTCTATAATTTTTTCTTTATCAAATTCATTTAATTTTTATTAATATGTTTGGGACCCAATTTGATTACTTGAAACTCAAGCCAAGAACAGTAGAAGAAATACATCATGAAGATGGTTATATAAAAGAAGGAATTGAAAGAACAGCAACAAGAAGAATCTTTTAATCAGTTGAATATGATCATTTCGAGAAGAAATAAATTCAATAATTCAAAGATATCATTAGAGGTGCTAATATAAGTGTTAGTTCTGATGATGTATTATTAAGATTTCTTTATGCAGGATATTTCAATATGACTAATTGTTTAGAAGTATTTTAAATTCCATCTTAAATTAGTTATATAAACGACATATACATTGGTTGAATACTAGTCGTCTCTCTACTATACCAGATAAAGTACTCTTATGTTTAAGAGAAGGATTAGTTTATATAGGAGGCAAAGATTATTAATATCGTCCAATTATAGTTATTAATTTACATATGATGGATCTATATCTATTCGATTCAGATGCCTTTATACATGCTCTATCTATTTTATTTGTTATTTGTGAAGATTATATGTTTTATCCAGGAAAAGTTGAAAATATTGTTGTTATTGTTGAAACTGATTAAATGAGTCTTTACAATTTTCCTTAAAAAACATTTCAAGTTATTATATGGATGATGAGTTAAAACTTTCCACAAATATTAGATCGTCTTTATCTATTTAATCCATCTAAAGAATTACTTATGAATTGGGATAATTATCATTAAATGTTAGATAGTAGAACATTCAAAAAAATTGAAATTTGGGAATCTAAGTCTTTTGCTCCTCTTGCTCATGGCTTTCATCCTGATATGTTAGAACGTAGATTTGGAGGAGGCATGCCTAATATTCAGTAATATTGGTTACCAACTCAAATCATATAATAACCTAGTAGTATTTCTTATAAAGTTCAAAAACCCATTTATAATCAAGGAACTATTCAATATTCTCTTTATAATGATCCAAAAGAATTATTAGAACGATTACAACAAAGAGATGCAGAAGATAGGTCATAAGAAGCTACACTCAAAAGTGAACCTAAATCAAGTGTTGCTTCTGGTAAATTGCAAGTTATTGATTTTCATTAAACTATGGGTAATGCCTTTAAAATTTAAAATAATGGCTATGAATAATAAGATCTAAGTTAAACTAATTTCTCAGGAGAATTCTATTAATAAACTAATTAAATATAACAATCCAATTAATAATAATTTATGAATCCAGGGTTTTAGGGATCAGCACTTCCAGAATAATAATTTAGATCGAATAGTAAGGCAAATTCTGTGACATCCTCATAAAAAATTAAGGATCAATATATAGCTTAATAATTAATGGGTTCATAATAAAAACCTATAAGTGGAGTTTAACAAACTATAAGACCAAATACTATGCCAGTCCCTTAATTAGGAGCTCCAGCATAATCTGAAAGACTTTATGAATCTATGGATGAAAAATTAAATGATTCTCAAAGACCATCTAGCAATAACGTTTAAGCATGCTCAATTATGTGATAATGTTAAATTCATAATATATATTTCTAATCTATATAATATGATGATAATTCTTTAAACATTTATAAATCAATTTAGTATTATATTATTTATTTAGATATCAATCAAAATCTAAATAAATAATATCATACTAAGATTTATACTTTTTAAAATATAAAATTAAGTAAAATCTAATATAGGAATTTTCAATCTTTGAAACATCCATAATTCTTTTAAACCTGTTGTCTATTTATTAGAATCTAAAAAAATATATGAAATACAATTTATATTTTTGGTTCTTAATAATGTTTTATTGGTTGAATATAGTTTTAAAGAACTCTTAATTTATTAAAAGAAGTACAATTAATTTATATTTATAAATTATAGATTTGAGTATTTTTATAATTATATAAGAAATATTTGATTATTTTTTTCCTTACATGTTTAAGAATCTATTATAAAAGATAAGATAAAGAATTAATTAAGAGTTTGTGATTTGATTTTTATTAAAAGATTAAAGAAGATTAGGTATGTAGCAACTTTTTATTCAAAAATTCGTTTTTATTTAATTTATTAAGTTTCTATGAGAAATATTTTCATTTTATGCCTCTCTTTTGTAATTTCAACTGCAACTATGAAAGATTCAAAAGTAATTTTAACAGAGATTGATTCTTAAAGAACTGGAAGAATTTTCTTAAATGCAATATAAGTTGGTTTAGCAACTGGATCACCTGTACATGAAATTTAGAGTTACATTAACAATATTAGGTATAAATATGAATTATTATGATTACAGATTTATGATAGAGTAAGAATAGAAAGATGCTGACTTATTTATATAAAATACAGAAGCTTCTTGTAATAGGTTGCTTCATGATTTTGCAACAAATCTAGCTTATCATTAATAATAATTTAAGGCACACTCTAAAATAGTTGAAGTAGGATTTATGATATCTTTTAGGAAAACACAAGAAATTTAGAGAAATCATTGAATAAAATTGCAGAAGTATCAGTTGAGATTGAAGAGAATTAAAGAAAAACAAATGAAGGTTAGAGTGAAAGAGATCTTCAATACTCTGAATTTTAATCCAAATAAAAGGATCATCTAGAATCTATAACTGCTATAGATGAAGCATATTCATTAGTTGAGCATCTTTCAAGTGGATCCTCATTTATACAAGTAAAAGGCAGATTTACTAAGGTTCTTTCTAGATTATAAAAGTAAATCATGTTTATATATAAAGATAGTTAGTCAACATCAGCTGGACTCCTATTTTAACCAATAATCTCTATGATGACATAAATGAATTCTAAAGCTGATACAGAATAAGCAAAAAAAGTTCTTTAATTATTGGCTAATTTAAGAGTTCAAATTGTAGAGAGTAAATCATAAGACGAGGATATAGAAAAGCAATAAGCTCAAAATTGGTAAAAATTTTTATCAGATTTAATTAATGAAAGAAATACTTTGTAAGATTAAAGATAGAATTTAGAATAAGCTATCCTAAATTATTAAAGTATTATAGAAGAGTCAGAAGGGAAAATTGAGTATCATTCAGCAGAAGTGGATAGAAATTAAGTAAATAAAAATTAAAAAATAATAGAATAACTTAGATGGGTAAGATTAATGGTGTAGACAATAATAAGAAATTTATTAAATGGAATCATAATAACGAGTTTAATCACTTGATTTAATTTCAAGAATTGTTGATCATATATAGGATAAAATTGTAACACTAAAAGAATATTTAAGAGAAAGATTACAAATAAAATGAATAAAATATATTTATGATTAAATTCATTTTAATACACAATAATTTTAATACTTTTCATCATCATCATAAATAATTGATATTTTATAATAATACTCATTTATTTCATAAATTAAATTAGTTATATTATATGTATAATTATGAAATATATATATATATAATGATTATTAATAAATTAAATAATGTACTAAATTCTGATTGATATTTATTGAATTAAGAATTATTTATTAAAATATATTAATAAAAGATAATATTAGAATTTTCAGAATTAAAAAAAAGTATTTTTAAAGATGAAATAAATCAATTTAAACAATTATAATATTTATTGTTTTATTGAATAGTTTTTTATAAGTTTTAAAATTTACAAGCATTTAAAACAATAAAAATATTTTGAATTGTTGTTAGATTATAAAAAAAATAGTAATTAATTCTTTACATTGATTATGAAATAATTTCATTTTCTTTATAAAAATAAATACTTAATTTCATTAATATTTATGTTTAGTTTTGGATATAAAAATTTATATGATCCTAAACCTATTAAACCTGGGCCTGGGTAATATTCATTGTTAATTTAGTGATTATGAACTTAGAAAAGATTTATCAGTTCAAACAATTCAAAATAAAGAAAAATTTATTCATCGTTCAATTAGCAATAAAAAATTATAAAATGATGATTCTTTTATTCATAGACTTAAAAATCATAATGATTGTTATGGTGAATATTAATTAAATGCACAAAGAAAATTACCAGAATTAATATCTAAGTAACAAAATAAACACTCTTTTACTACATCTGAAAGATCAAATTGTTTTGTATTACCTGCAATTTCAAAAGGTCCTTAATACTATGATGTATAAGATATAAAAAGTGATCGTTCACTCAATATAGGAAAATATTCATCAAGAAAAGATATTTTTGATATTTAAAAGGATGGTATTTCAAAAAATAATTGTTCTAAATTTGACAGATCTATAAGTATAGAATAGAAAATGCATAAGCCTAAAAATCATTGGTCTTAAGATAAACCTAATCGGAAATATGTTGTTTCTTATTATTAAAGAGTTAAACCAATTCCAAAATTTAGAGAATACTCATATGTAAGTAAAGATAAAATTGGTCCAAGTTTGATTGATTATCCAAAAGATAAAATAAAAGGTAGAACATTTAAAAAAGATTAAAGATTTAAAATTGCAAAAATTAATAAAGTTGATATTCATTAAGAATATTTTATTTAGAAATTAGTTAAAAATAAGGATTATGTATAATCAGGTGATAAAGATTCTAGTTCTTCAGAAGAATTTATAAATCTTAAAATTTTAGATTTTACAGAAAAAGTTTTTTTTGATAAATAAATCAGATTAAAAAAACCCTAATAAGATGTAATGAGATAGAAAGCACCTGGACCAGGGAATTATGATATTAAAGTGTAATCAGGAAAATAGTATTCATTTCCAAAAGGTAAAAGATATAATAAGTTTTTTTGGGATTTCCTTTGATAATTCCTTATTTATAAATATTAGAAAAAAAATACTAAGCAAGTTAATAGATGTTTATATATACATTCATTTATTTTAAATAATTAAATTTGTTCATGTTATTTTGAACAAATCCATAAATTGAACATCATTTTGAGATATATATGCAAAAGTGATGTAAAATTTGATATTATCTTATATAAAAGAGATAGTTAAAAAAGAGATAAATTTATGTTTAAATAACATAATAACATGTATAAATAGATGTAAATGAAATTCTTTATGTTCTATTCGATATAATTAAATTCTTTTGTAAATATTATTAAGTTAATATAATGTCATTTAAGTATAAAATTTTCATTTATCAGGTCATTTCATTTTTGTTTCTGGTTCTTCTATTGTTATGGTATATTTTTAGCAACATCTATCATTTCCTTTTAGAATTTGGAAAAAACATTGTTTTTTATTCCTTACTGAGATGGAATTGCCTAAAAAGTAACAAAATTAGAGAATTATTATTCAGATGGGAGACTTTAAAAAGAGTATTATTATCCTGTTGATAACTGAGAACTTTTTTGATGGTCTTTAAACACTCCAAACTAAGGCTATTTTTATGGTTAATAGTCTTCATCAGAATCAGATAAAGAAATCATTTGTTATGGTGCATCAAAAATAGAACATATTTTAGTATTTTAAGGTGGAGTATTATCAACTTCTAATGTTTCTATTCTTTCTACTTTATTACAACATGTTCCATTTCCCATTTATTTAATATTAAATTAATAATCACCATAATATCATTATTATCTTTATGAAATATTCAAGACCTTTAGAATTGATTAATTATAAGTATTAATGCGAGTATAATATTTTTGATAAAATAAAAAGTAAGAGGATTTTGAATTTGATTAATTTATATAATAACATGAAAATAATTAGTTTAGCTAAAATTAATATATTTTGGAAATTATAACAATTATTCAAAAGATCTAAAAGATCTGTGAATGAATGTAAATATCAAAATAATTAAGGTTATGGTTTCATTCTAAATATTGTTCTAGATCTGAAAGATCTCTCTATTATTATTAATATGACTTTAAGATGCTTTTTCTTTCAAGTTATTTAACATATTCTTTGAGCTGTTCTTCTTATTCTTATTATTACATCCTATAGCTATTAAAACATTATTATGCTTCTTAAAAGTATTTTGAACATTTATTAGAATAGTCAGCATTGAATGGTAAATCTAATTGTAATAGATTGATAAATTTAGATATTTTATCTAATGTTTCTACTTATCTAGTTGTATTATGATTTCCATCACATAATTCAAGTCTTTTATATGATTTACATTTTTCATAGAGAATTTAAGAATGTCTAGGATGAACCAATTAATCAGATTTTCCAGCCAGGAAATAAAATCGTTTAGTATTGCTTTGTATATTAACATAATTGAGAGGAGACACTTGATCAATATCAAATTATGCTTCATTTATTATCTTACTTCTAAGAAATGGCATAAAACCATTGATCATAAATGAAAAACATCCAAATTTTTATTAACCTAACTCTTCTACAACAGTTCTTAATTATGTAAAAGCACTATCAGCAATATAAGTAGTAATTCTAGGATCTTATGATAACATTAGTGCAGTTACAGCTCCCATACTTCTTCCCCATAAAATAAACTCATCAACTTTACCAAAATGACATTCAATATAGTTCATTAGTTCTTTAACATCTTCACTTTCATAAGTACCCATGGTTATGTATTTTCCTTCTGATAAACCACATCCAGCAAAATCAAATATACATAAATTGACTCCTGTAGCTAATAACCTATCTACATACTACAATCCTTCTAATCTACAACTAGCATTGCAATGAAGATAAATTAGACAACGATGATGAACAGATTCTGATATGAAATAACTAGCTTGAAGTTTTAGCTATCTTGATGTAAACTCGAAATCTTATCTTATTATTGGAACAGTTTGAATAAATCGTAATTTTGGACCTACTTTTAGTGTATCAATACCTAATTATTATATTGAATAAGTTCTTCTTGGTGGTCTGATGATCTATTTACAATAATCACTTATGAATGACATTAATATTAATGCATAAAGTTGTTGTTAAAGCACTAATTCGTGAATTCTTTATAAAAACAGGACTGAATGAGACATTAAATACATTTGATAAAGAGTATAATGAAAAGACTGTAATAAAAAAGATGGATGTAATTTTATAACTTGGACTTTCAAAAATTGTGAAAAGAAACAATGAATAATAGAAACCTTTAAATAGTTTATTAGAAATCCTAATCTCTCATATTCTCAATAAAAAAGCATTATTAGAAGAATTAACAATAGTATCAAAAGCAGAAAGAATTGAAGACATCCCTTAAGATATTCCATATGATCCTACTATTGGAGTATCTCGTTAAAATAAAATGAAGAAACGTCCTTAATCAGAATATAAGCCTAAGAATTTAGATATATCAAAAGAAGAAGATCTATTTATTGAATAAAAAGATGATAAGAAAGATGAAAAATATTCACCAAATAAAGGAGCATTTGAAGTACCAAGAAAGTCTTCACTTAAATAAGTTAAATTGTTTGATTTTTAAGAATAAAATGCTAATGATCAAACTAATTAAGAAAAGAAAGATAAACCATAATTACCACTTGCTCAACCACCTAAATTAATCAATATGAAAAAATAATCTGAAAATAAAGAAGTCGAATAAATATCATTCACAGAATAACCAAATAATAATTAAGAAAATTTATTATAAAATGTCAAAGTAGAATATCAAAAATGCAATATCAAATAGCATAATGTGTAACTTACTTCATCAAACATTAATTATGATAAAAGTATTGGTTTTAATTAAGGAAAACGTAAACCTTAATAAAAAACCATTACATAATCTGTTAAAAAATTATTATTTTAAGGAACAATGACTGGATTACCAAAAAGTTGGTCATAACCTTTTATTTTAAAAAATGAACCTACTTTTTTTGGATTACATTAGTTAGAAGGAGGTCCATGTGGTGTTTTAGCCTCAGTTTAAGCCTACTATCTTAAACACTTTTTATTTTCTTAATCTACCTATTCTAAGTCTTCAATTAAATAAAATTGTTTACTTGCTGCCTTATCAGACATTTTATATAAATCTAATAAAGAAAGACTTATTCTAGCTATTCCAGCAAGAGATTCATCAATGAATTAAGCAATAGGAATTGAAAGTTGTGATTAATTAGAATACTAAATCAAATCTCTTAGTTATTTGTATGAAGTACTATTGGAACATACTTCTTTATTTTTTGGATAAAATGGAGTAACTTTATTCTTCTATTCTCTTATTTTAACAAAAGGAGTTGAATAAATAATGTCTGAAATGGATTCAGCAACAAATCCTTTGATTGGTAATCATGGACATTGTACTTAAGAAGCTGTAAATTTAATGTTGACTGGAAAGGCTATTAGTAATTGTTTTGATGGGTAATATTAATTTTATAATTTATAGATGCAAACAAATTGATGAATTGAAAATTAAAGGAATTGAAGAAAGGAGTGAAATTGGATTTTTGACTATATTTGAACATTTTTAATATCTTGAAGTGGGAAAGAACTTGAAGGAACCTTTACTACCTATATGGGTAATTTGTAAAGAATATCATTATTCAGTCATTTTTGGTTGTAATAATGATGTAATCTAAGATAAAACTTATTTAAGTAATATATAATAAATATATATTAGAAAATAATTTAAAAGAATTTGATCTTGTATTTTATGATGGGTTAAATAATTCTGATGATCTAATAATAATTACAATAAGAAGATTAGGTGCTCAATTAGGCAAATAGAAAAAGAAGGTTTAAATAGAGGGAGTTTAATTTGATTCGAGTGACTAAATTACACCCTTAATAGAATGTTTACTAAAAACAAAATATGGAGAATTAGAATTAGATTGGAATGATAGTATGCCAATATTATGAACTACAATTTATTATCATGAATTCTATTTAATTTTTTAATTAATTTTGTTTTGTTTTCTTTAAGATAAAAGAGCATTATATTATATTGAAGATAGATTAAAGAAATCTTGATTTTAATGGAGAAACCTTTTTAATCACTCCAGCTAATTTAAATACATTTAGTTTAATATAGAATGGAAATTTTTTAGAAGAAAATAATAATATAATGAAATTTATATATAGAAATTATATAGTTATCAGCACATAATCAATATTGGCAATGATCTCCAAGGACTTTTATTAGCTATTGAAGGAATAGTAAAATCAGTGCGATGCTTAAAGTATTTTTTTTTTAAAGAAGTGAAGATTCTTATTTGATTAAAGATACCATTATTTTCAGGGTATTTAGGTATTAAGGGAGATTCAAAGTTAGATAATTCTGACAAAGATTTGATATTGTGTTAAATTTATTATTAGTAGTTTTGTGGAATAGAATATTCTTCACTTATTATAGATAAAGAATGAAAAAATTGATGAGGCATTTATTCAAATTTTTCAATATCTTTTTTTGCTAATTCAAATTCATCTTGAAAATCTAATTGTTCAATTTTTAGTAAACCTTACAATATATGAATTGGAGTAAAATAAATTTAGTTTGTTTTTAAATTTACCATACAAGGTGTTAGTTAATGAATTTCATCTTTTTTTAAAGATTCAATATTTGATATTGTTAAAATCAAACTTTAATGTTAAGAATTTGATGATAATACAGGTTTATCTTAATTTTCTTGTTGTATCACTACTGGTTACTTGCTGATTTTCCATAAAACTTTATCAATCAATTTATTTAGATCATCTTATACATCCTCCCTTTTAAGAAGACAATTAAATCGATTTTTAACTTAATTTTCATTTCTTTTTAAATTTTTAGCAATTTCAGTCCACTTTTTACCTTTTTATTGAATTTGATAAATTAATTCTAGATCTTCTCTATCAGTCCAAGGATCTTTAATTTTTAATAAAGTAGGATCTAAATAATTAATCCATCTCTCTCTAAGTTGTTTACATGTTCTATATATCAAATTATTGTTATTTATTTCATTTGCTATCAATTTCCATTTATTATCTTTATTTTTATATTTTTCATAGAGTATTATAATTTATTGATCCTCTTCTTATGTAAATGGTTGAGATACCAATGATGTTTTTAACATAGACAACCACTTTTGTCTAATATTGTCAACATTTCTTCTAAGAAGATATTTGCCAATCTCATTAAAATCATTATTATCCAAAAATCTACAATTTTTCTAATTAAGTTAACAATACTTTCCAACAACCCAAACTAATACTTTTTTTTCATCTAAACTCCAACTTTTTTTTTGATTTATAGAGAATCGTCTACTATATATTTTTTTTTGAATTTTAAAAATTTCTTAATCGTTTAGATTATCATGAAAAGGAATGTTAAAGTATTCCCTAAGATAAATGAAATCAATTTGTATATTCTAACATGATTCATAAAACTTTTAAAATTATTAATATTATTGTTGTGTTTCTAGTCTTTCTTAACTTGTTGCTAAACATAAATGTTATATATACATTAACGTTCTTAATAAATACGTCCTCTTGGTGGCTTTTGAATGTAAGAATCTGCATCAGAAAGGTTAAATTCTTCAAACATTGTTGTAAATATTAAAAATAAAATCAATTGCAAAATCTTTGTATACTTAATATTTAAAATATTTCATCATTAAAAACTGTCAAAAATCATTCTATTAGTTCATTTAAAAGATACTTTTAAGATATAAAAATAATTAGAAAAACTCTCATATGTAATTTTAGAGTAAAAATGAAAAGAACTTTTATTATTCTTAAGAAAAATACATTTTATTAATTAAATTTTATAAAATAAGAAAATAAAAAAATTATCACTTGATAAAATAAATTTTAGTTTTAATTCATATTAAATTTTTACCAAAGAACATATATCTAAGTGATTGTTCTATCACTTTAATTTCCTTAAGAAGAATATGTATATATTTATAAAGGTATCTAAAATTAAATTCTATAGATGAAATAAATATAAATGAATAAGAATAAAGATTAATAAATATTGAAATATATATAATTTATAGGTATAAAATTTACTTACTTATTTTATTTAATCTCATTAAATTTGTCATTTTTTTAATTTTACAAAATGTTTTTATTTAAGTCTTAATATAATAATTTTTTTCATTTTTGAACATTTATATAGATTAATTTACATTGTTATTGAGTTGATTTTAATTATCTCTATAGTATTTAAAGTAAATAATAAATAACAAAAGAATTGTGAATATAAAATCAAATATTTCATTAAAATGTATTAGATTAAAAACTATTGGATGTATATTTCTTAAGCTTTATAAATAAAGTTTATTTATACATTATCATAATATTAAAGTAAATAATTGTGATAACAGTATCAATATCAATAAAATTACTATAGTTTTTATTGTGAATCGGATTTGAGTTACATTAAGTTCAGTTAATTTGAATTTTGTAATTTAGGTCTCCTTATTTTATGTATTTCCTTATTACTATACATTTTAATCATCCTTTCGTATTGGTTATTCAAGAATACAATCTTTTTTCACTTATTCTTCAGTTTGAAATTATTCTTAAATAAAATCATTGAATTCATTAGAATTGAATGTTATATTTCTAATTGCTTAAACTCTGAAATCTTTAACAATAATTTATTTAGGAGATTAAGTTTTAGGTTATTCAATTTTTAGATTATCTAAATCATCATCTTTGGGCCAATCAGAAGGATTAAATTCTGGAAAATCTTGGAATTCCAATAGTTCATCCTATTTAGGTAAATATTTTTCTTTTATTTTGTCTATAACTTGTTAATTTACTTGATGGAGACCAATTTTTTAATCTATTTAAGTGATGAGCCCATTTAATCTCTGATGAGTATTGATGATTTCTTCATTTTCTTCAATAATAGGAAGTTCTTTAGGAAGAGATTTAAGTTTGGTTTCAGGATTATAAAATTCAGGACTTTTATCTGTATGTCCATTATTTGTACCTTCAGGTGAATCAAAAACTTATTCTAAATTTTATGCAAGTTCATGCAATGAATTATGAGATGAACCAAAATCACTTGATGTTTTAAGATGATGAAATTCTTCATCTTAATGGGGACTTTCTTAAATGTCAGATTTTCGATCAGAGATTCTTTGAAAGGTAGTCAAATATTTTTCACAATCCCTTTCAGTTAATTTCTTGTATGGAGAAACTAAGAGTTGTTTTTCTTCTGGGAAGGTATTATGGAACATTGTAGTAATGGAAGAAGTAAATGTATCAGTAGTTCTATCCATACCAATATATTTGTGTATGATTTGATCAATAAGGAATTCTTTATTGGGTGTAGAACAAGTGGATTTACTTTTTTTAATGGGATCTACTGTTATGGCACTGCCACTTACTTATCTAAGCATTCAGTTAATTATATTAATGGCGAATCGACTTAAAACGTAAATTCAATTTAGTGATGATCAATCTAATTTGAATTCACTTGAACCCATCGAAACCAAAAGATTTGAAGATCATTATGAATGTCTACAAACCATAGGTAAGATAGTAAAGTGATATTGTGTATAGGATAGGGTGCTCATGCAATAGTAAAGACAGCAAGGAAGAAAGGAACAGAGGAAATATATGCAGTGAAAATAGTACGTTCAGGAGATTAAGAAATATAAAATAATGTTAAGAGGACCTTCAATAATACTAGATGTCTAAGACATCCTAATATTGCATAGGATATGGAGTTATATATAAATGAAAAAAGTGAAACCTCCTATTTAGTTATGGAGTATTGTAATTTACCAAGTTTAGAGAGTGTCATCAAGAAGCGTCCATTGAAAATAGAAGAGTTGAAAGTGATTATAAAATAATTGTTGTTTGCCATCTAGCATTCTCATTCAAAAGGCATATGTCATAGAGATCTTAAACCTGATAATATACTTGTTAATATAAAGGAGAATAGTAATCCACCTCATGTAAAACTTGTAGATTTTGGAGTTTCTCGTAGATTTATATCTAAAGGATAAGAAATTGATATGCTTACTAAAACAGGTAATATATTTTACTGTGCTCCTGAAATATATCACAAAGCTAGTTATTCAAAAGAAGTTGATATTTGGTCTATAGGAATTATTTGTTATTAATGTACATTTTAAAAATTACCTTTACATTCTAATGAATTATCAGATTTTGTTGATTTATTGGGCAACCCAGAAAAATGGACATTCAAAGATTCTTTATGTAATATTGAGATGCCATTATCAAATTTAATTTTATCAATGTTAAATCCAAACAAAGAAAATAGAATAACAGTTGAAGAAGCTATTAGACATCCTTTTTTTGAGATTGGAACTATTCGTGATGTTATGGCATTATTAAATAAAGATAAAATTGAATTAGATAATTGTGGAAGATGTAGATCATTATAAAATAGTCTAAAATTAAATGAATAATGGGGAGATGTTATTAAAAAATTATAAAGTAGTTCTAATGAAGATGAAAATATAAATATGAATGATTTAGTTAGAGATTTTGGGAATATACATATAATATAAAGACATACTGATAAATGTGGTTTAATTCATTTAATGAATTCTGTTGGAAGTAGTAATGCTTTTATGAGTAAATTAGGATCTCGATAAGAAATACTTGATAAAAGTTGTGGTCTATAATTTTGTGGATCATCAAGTATATATATATATATATTTATTATATAGATAAAACAATTCATTAAGATCCATTTGGAGATGTATGTAATATTCAAAGTAGTTTGGAAATGAAAGAAGAACAATAAAATTCTAATAATAGATTATTTTAATAATTAGGAACAAATTTAGATTATAGTTTAGAAGTTACTCCAAGTGAATGGCAATTGACAAATTAAAAATAGAATATTCAGTAATAATAAGGTACAAAAAAGAGAGGATCATAAGTTAATAGAATGTTTAATGAATTAGGAATAAAAGAAGTGGATGAAATAACAGAAGATTAATTTTGATCAATATTCATTGACTTCTTCATGTTTTAAATTTTCAGACATCTCTGAGTTTTATTTTCTTGGACTTGAATTTGGACTTACATAAGATACTTTAGGATTAGTATTTCTAGCAAATGATATACAACCTGAACTGACAACAAAATATTTTTTAATATTTGCATCTATCATCTTTATAAGTGCATTATCTATTCTTGATTTCTTTTCTTTTTCATTTATACTTTGAAATGAACTAAAAGCTTAAGTGGCTTTAATAATAGTATTATTTTTAGGTTCTTATTTTGTATAAATTACATCTATATTAGGTTTTGGAATATATTCAAATAAATTCAATTAATCTTCATCTAAAAGTAATTATTTTAATTTTTCTAATTCTTATAATTTATTAAAAACATATATAATATCTGTTTTTTAATTAACTATTTATAAATTTTATCTTAATTATTTAATTCTTTTTTTTAATTATCCTGTAAATCCAAAAAAATATTTGACATACTGAATATGTTGTAATTTCAATCTTATATCTTATGGTTAAAAGTATTTAGCTATAAGTTCATCAACATCTTGATTCTATTCTTCAATAATTGCTTCATCTACTTATTATTCTTGATCAGCATTTTATTTTTATTATTATGAATATTTTTTAAGAATACTTTTAATCATTTTTGTTGGTTATTTATTTAATTCTTTATTATTTGGATTAACTTTAATTGAATCTAAACGAACTGTCTACATTCGCAATAATTTCTGACTATAAGCTAAAGAATTGAGAGGATAAAAAGATTTAGTGTCTTTAGTGGATCCGAAATTAAAAAATTGATTAAGAAATGATATCTAAAATTTCAATCTGGTTATTGGTTTACTAAAAAACTTTCCAATAAACATCAACACTTTGACTAGACCTCCAGTAATTGATAGAATTCTGTAAATTCTTTTGTAACCTCGATCCACATGTTTTATTATAGGACTACCTAAGTACTGTTTGTTTGTACTTGATTGTAAAAATTAATCTTAAACTAGTTGAATCACTCTATAAATAGTATGTATCAACATTTTCTAAGTATAATTGATCATCTGTACTCAAGATCTCCCATAAAAGGCCTGAATCTGTTTAATATTCTAGTATTTTCATTTAAATATGTATTGTTAATTGTTGATTTTTAACAACATTTCTAACAATCTTTTATTATTTACCAATTTTAATAGGATTATCTACATCATAAATATCCTCATGAATAGTTGGTATTGATATTCCTATTAATTTAAATTAATGAATATCTATTATAGTTTCATCATTTGTAAGATGATGAGTAGTTACAATCCCTTCATCTTCTAAATCCAATAAGATGGAACGAAATGTACTAGATTCCAATAATTTATAATTGATTCCATTATCTATTGTGTATTCATGTATCTCTGGAGACAAATAGAATAAACAATCTAAGAATTGACTAATACAAAGAGCTGCAATTAAGGAGGCAACAATTGATGACCATAATCCACCATAGAAAGTTTTATAAGACTTATGTTATCTGTAATTCAGTCCTATTTCTACTCCATAGAAATCACAACTTTTAATCAATTTATATGCCTTTTGTTTTATATTCATAATTAAAATCAACTGTGAAATGTAAGAAATTCGATTGCTGGTTTTGGAAACCAAAATGATGATGCATTCCATCCTTCCAAAAATCCAATATGTCCTCCAGCTTTGGTCAAACACAATATTGTACGTCCATTTTGAATCATTTCGTCTTTTCCTAATCCTTTAAGATGACAAACACCATCATCTTCAGCAGAAATACAAAGCATTGGAATTTAAACATTAGGAAATCTATTAATTAATGAAAAATGTCTATAATATGCATCAGATGTTCGATATCCATAAACTCTAGAAGTATAATAAGTATCAAAATCTTGAATCCAAGTAGAATTTAATGCTTTTTTAACATCAATTGTCCAATTACTAGGGTAATTATTTCTATTATTAAATTGATCTTTTATAGCCTTAAGTCCTCTTTATAAGATTTTACATAACATTAAATTCATAAATGTAGATAAAAAGATTTAAGTGATATTCATTATATGAGGAGAACAAACAGTAACTCCAGCATTAATAAGAGCTTTATTTTCAAATCGTCCCAAATACATACCTAATTATACACCTCCATATGAACAACCTATAGCTAATATTTTATTAAATTGATATTTATTTTTCAAATATTCTAATGTGTAATGAAGATCTGCCACTAAATCTATACGAATTCTCTTGCCTTCTATAATATCATCTTCAAAATAGTAGTAATCATTATCAATTCCATAAAATCCATTACTTACATAATTAGGCATAAATTAATTTGGTTACATCTTTAAACCATAATTGTAACATTCAGGTTTAAAAGAAAAATCTGCATTTTTAGCAAGCATTCTATAATTGTAAATACAGATATTATGAAAATTATGTAGATGAGCTTATGATACTATTGTATTTATATATCCATCATCTACACTTCCTGTTAGACCTGGCATTATAAATAAAAGTGGATGTTAAATATCAATACCATTTCCTTTATCAATCCAATCAACAGATAATCCTGCTTCATGCACAATTTCTCTATTTGATGTATGTTTTTCAGCTGGATGTTTGAATGATGCTATTAAAATAGATATAAGACATACCTAATAAAGTATGTAATAATCCATTAAGATATGGAGTAGGTTTGTAATTAAATAATGATGGACATTATTTTATTACTTTTTTAAGGTCTTCATTATTGTAAAACAATTGAACACTTGGACGATTTATAAATTTCATCCATCTATATGAGATGTAAATTATAGCAATTGTTATGATTATATTGATCATTTTTAGATGCCCAAATATATTAAAATTATTAGCCAAATATTAGAATACTTACATAATATCAAAAACTCAAACTTATAAGGTTCAATAAATAAATATTCATGGCAGATTAATCACTAAAAGGAACTAATTGGGGTAGAGTTATTATAGATGATAAGAATTTGAGTTTATCTCATCTCTCTCAAAATGTCATTAAAATACCTCTTAAGAGAATTACTAATTCTAATATTTAAAAGAATGATATTGTATTGTAATTGAGTACTGAAGAATATGCTGAAAAGTACATAATTTCTTATTATTCTTTATTAGTGAAGACATGTTATGTGAAGTCAGATTTTATATTCCTCCAAAAGAATAAGTATATTTATAACATTAAAATATTAGAAAACAGAAAAAAAGAAATAAGAATCAAATGAAGATGAATAAGATGAAATCTCATATCTATAATAAGTTTAGAATTAAATTGTCAATAAAGCAAAAATTGGAGGTAGTAGTGATTCCATTCTTACAGTCCATGAAGTTCCATTCATTGTACCTAGAGGAAAATATACTATGGATTTCTTTAAAAAAGAAGTTCGCTTTCATGGCAATACTTATTAATTCACTACTGATTATAAGAGTATTACTCGATTCTTCTTGCTTCCTATGCCAGATGAAGTCAATCTTTCATTAGTTGTTGGTCTTGAAAATCCCATTAAGTAAGGTCAAACTGCTTATAATTATATTGTTATGTAATTTAAGAAAGATTAAGAAACATAAGTTGAGATGAAATACACAAGAGAATAATTAGACAATATTGGATGGAAAGGGATTCGATTAGAATACACTGGTTCTATGTATGATATAGTTTGTGATATCCTCTCAGAAATCACAGGAATCAAAGTAGTATCACCTAAGAATTTCAAATGCAAAAATGGATTATTTTGTTTGAGATGTTCAGTTGTACCTCATACAGGATTTTTATTTCCATTAGAGAAATCATTACTTTATATACAGAAACCAGTTATTTATATTAAACATGATGATATTAAAGAGATTTTATTACAAAGAGTATTATACATTTATAATTACTTTAGATTACTTAGACAACATAAAATAAATTCTTTGATATCAAAATTATTACTAAGAATACATCTTACTTATTTTCAACAGTTGATAAAGAAGAGTTAGATAATTTAACTTAATATTTCAATTCTAAAAAATTGTAAGTCAAAAAAATTTAAGAAGAAAATGAAGGAATAAATATAGACAAAGATGATAGTGATGATGACAGTTAAAATGGTCATAAATTAACTTTATCTTAAATGGATTCTGATGAAGATGATGAAGATTTTTAAGCATAAGAAGATTCATATAATAGTGTATAATTTTAACAAAAAGTATAAAAAACAAGAGCTGCCAATAAATGAATCATAATATATATCTATATATTAAAAACAATATAAATATATAAATGAAATCTTTGATTCCTTAAACTAAAAAACCAGGAAAATCACTTCCTAAATCCAAAGATAATCAAACTAATTTATCAGGTAATTCTAAAAAAGAAATCACTAATGAATCTAATGGTTTTGATATATCTAAATAATAAAAATCCTCACCAAATCCTATTGAATAAAAAAGAAAACAAAATTGTCTCTTTGAAATTGTAGAGCTTGCTAACACTTTAAAAGATGATGATAAAGTAAATGGACTTGTCTTTAAATAAATTATTATATCTATTGAAGCTAAATTGACTGAATTCTAAGAAAGATTAGAAAATAGGGATAATCTTTAAGAATTAAATACACACCTTCAAAAATTATAAAATCTTCAATCAAGTCCATATAGTCCTAATGGTAATCAATGTAATCAAAAAAAGGATGATTCACGTAATGATACTAGTGGATTACTTCGCAATTAAAGTTAAATGTCTTTACCTTAAGTTGATAATGCTAGTGTATTAAGTGCCTAAGAAAAAATTAAAAGTCCTTAGGGTAGACGTTCAACATCAAAATAACCTACAAGTATTTTGTAGATTTTTCAAATTAGTTAATCTTGGTGTTACTTCTCAATAAGTTATATAAGAAAATAACAAAATTGCAGCTTTAGAAAAAAGATTGAGATCTAATGAAGACAATTATGTGAAGTTATCCAAAGAATTTTAAGAATAATCAAATGCTAACAATTAAAAGTTTGAAAAAACAATCAAGGCTTTAAATGAAAAATATTTAGCTTATAGTACTATGAATTTACAATAACAATTCAATGAAATTACAGAAAGTTAGAAGGCCCTGATTTCACATCTACATCAACAATCTAAAGAAATCAGGTAACTGCATCCAAATATATAGTGAATTTAATAATGGTTTAAACTAATTGAAACAATCATAAGATGCTTAAATTATAGAAGTACTTAATAAAATTGAACATGCTTTACAATAGAATAATGAAAACTTTGTTAGAATTCAATCATTATCATCATCACTTTAAGCTATCGATGCTGATTTTATTGTAATTCTAAAATGCTATAAGGATATATTGAATGAAATCTTTAAAATTGATTTATTAGAATAATAATAAAAGAAAATTGTATGTTTACTATAAGATGAATAATGATTATTGATATTTAATAATTCAATTAGATGACTTTTTAAATATGCCCATAAATTCTGAACTTTTGTGATATTCCAATAATTAATTATGCTTATTGAAACAATTTTCTAAATATACTTAAATATTCTACTTGTACAAGTCTCAACTTCTAATTTAGTATTCTAACATACTTTAAAACATCTTTCATCAATAAATGCACTTACTTCTTAGATTAAGTTTATATATCATTTTGTTATAATTAACCAAGCTTAGCTACTAAGGATTAAGAGTATAAATCTATCTTAAATTAAATTTTAGATTCTAAATTGTTTTCCTCGTCCTTTATCACAATTAATTTTTATGAAATTGGATTCATATATTAAATTACTATAAAATTATTATTTATACTATTAAAATTATAGTAATAATATATTGAACAATTATTTTTTATTATACTATTATTTAAAAGTAAATGATCAATTATTTTTATTATTTTTGACATATAACTTATAAATTATATTAAATTATTTCAAAGATTAACAAATCGTAATATATCTTAACTTTCTTTTATAATTAAAATTATTTTTAAAAAATAAATAACATTTTTTAAATTGTTGTTATAAAAGTCCATGTTGAATCCAGGATAGATGATTATATAAATTAATATTCCAATATTGTTCAATAGAATGATAGATCCAATTAAATAGTATTTATGGTATAAATAAAAAATATAGTATAGGTAAATTCAAAAATTTTTCATTCAAATTATTTTATTGTATATTCTTTTTTATTTCTTCCTTGCTTCTTTTTTTTTACAATAAATTTTAATCCATTTATATTAATTTAATAAGACTTACAAAATCTTACTTTCTTCTCTTTTTACATAATTTATTACGTTTTATTATTTCTTTTAAAACATGATTTTATTATGAAGGGTTTTTAGTTAAGTTGTTACTCTTAAATTATTTAAAAATCTTCAATTTCTTCTTTGTATAGGGTTTTCCTATTCAAAATACTTTCGTTGACTCTAATACTGTCATTTATCAAATTTGCACAAGTTTCATCGCTCAATTCTAAATCATCTGACAATATTAGATCATCCTTAAGGAATTCAACCTTTTCATATTATATAGCAGATGGTGCACAACCCATTTAATTTTATAAATTTTATGAGTTTATGAATTGACGAATTAATCTATATATAGCACATCTTAAAATAAGATATATTATATATTACATTAATTAATTGTGTTATATTTAAGGAAAATTTGAAATTTCATAGAAAATACAAAAAATTAAAGCAACTATTTATTAACAAAAGATAATCTAAATTAAATTAATAAAATATAGAAGAAAAAGGAAATTAAAGAAAATGAAATTTAACAGTAACTTAATACTTTATATATATATAATATAGTTATTCAAAATAATAATAAGATAAACAATTAAAATTTAATGTGAATTTATCTAATTTTTTATAATTTAATTTATTGATAATTTACTTGTAAAATTAGTTCTATAATAATAGAAATATGTAATCTGATAAAAAAAAGAATTATTAAATATATATCCTTATAATAATATAGATATATTTCAAATTAATAAATAAAATTCTTATATAATAATCAATCGGTAATTTATTGATTTTAAGACAGTAATTATTATTGATCATCTTCTTATCTGAGATTGCTTGATGATACAGATAAGGATTCAAAATCCTTTTATTATTACTTTTTAGCTAGTTTTTATTTATCCATAGTTTTTAATATTTAATCTTCTTTAACAACACCAACCCATGGCAATGGAAGAAGAATGAAAACTCCAGTAATTACAATAAACAACCAAAGTCTAGAATAATCATTTTAATTAACTCCAAGTGCAATTAGAAAGATTGCTCCAAACTAAGATCCCAAAGTTGATCCTATAAAATGAATAAATTAATAAGATACCAAAATTGATAGTACTCATCAACATAGCATACATAGTTGCTTCTATATTCTTAGGACACATTCTACATGCTAAGACTAATATTGGCATAATATTTAATTCTCCTACTAATTATAACATTATAGAATCTCCTAAACAAAAGAATCTATCATTTATATTCCATTCTACATTTTTTCTAGTTACCAATATAATCATTGATTGATAACAAAAATAATATAAAATAGTTGTTGTAATAAAGATTTTCTTAAATGAAACATCTTTCAAATAATTATTATATAATAGAACTCCTAAGATTGTTGAAAAAGCATATACAAATTTTAGCTAACCTAAAAAGGATGGTTCAAATCCTAATACTGATGTATAGAAAAAGAACATGATAGTTGAACTGGATGGTGCCATCATAAAACAAAATATTAATGCCACTGGTCTTTTATTTAATTATATTATACTTGTAAATCAACGGATTTTTGAAAAATATCCAAAAGTCCTTAATACATTGCATAGTGTTATTTCTTCTATCATCTTAACTCAAACCTCTTAAATTCACTTTTTCTTCAGTATAAAAGAAAGAGATCATCATTAAAGCAGCTGGAAATGCTGAAGTCATCAAAAATATTTCTTATTTTGTAAATATGTGTAATAAAGCACCTGAAAAGAAAGCACTTATCAGAGTTCCAAAAGCTCTAACTCCAAAAAAGATAGAAACGTTTTTTGATGCTCCATGTTAAAAATTGGTTTACTTTTATTCTTATTTTGCTGCTACCTCAACTAAAATAGCCTCTCCCACTACATTTACAAAGCAAGTTGATAATTGAATGAGAAACAATATCAATAGAGCAGAATGTAAACTATTTGTCCCATATTTATATAAGGCAACCCATCCTAAAGCATCAATAGTACTAAACAAAATTATATAAGATTTTCTTCTATATCCAAATAAAGGCTTTGAATCAGTTATAAGTCCCCAAAAAGGTTTGACAATCCAAGGAATAGTTGTATAACTCAAATACAATCCCATCATAGCAGGTGATAAACCAAAATCATCTTTAAGCATAAAGTTTATTGATAAATCAGCTAAATGTTGAACTCCCTATGAAAAAGCAACCACAGCAATAATGAAATATGATGGATTAAAGTTTTCATATAATTATTAGAAATGACTAAAAAGCTTGACAAACATTAAACTTTTTAAATTAAATCAAAATAATTTCTTATGATAAAACGAATAAATATATAAAAATTAAGCAATAATATTTAATCTCAATAATTCAATTCTCTTTGAACAGACTAGTTATAAAAATTTCTCAATTTTTTATTACTGTCATAATTCAATGATGTTGTTTTAAATAATAACATAATCTACATCTGAAGGTATTTCTATTAATAATTTATCCCATATTAATATAGATTTCATTTCTTAAGTTTTCTTCTAAAATATTAAGATAATCTAGGTTATTGTATTTAATAATACCTGAATTCCAGAATTAGAATCTGCCCCTTTGACATTTTTGCCTCTGTCTTTATTTCATATGGCCATTCATTATTTAGTGAATTTTCTTAATCCTAATCTAAAATTTAATTATATGGAATATCAATGAAATTATTCCCTTTGTCAATATTACCAAATTTAATATATTTAGATACCTTATTCAATTATAATGGGTTTTGACTATAAAAAGACATAATTTTTATTTACTGAATTTGTTATTTAAATTTAAGATAGTGTATATAAATATTATAGTGATTATGATTATCAAATTTTAGAGTACCAAAAATAAAGAAACCTAAAAAATAGCTTATTTGTCAATCTATTAATTAAAATTCCTTGACTTATATTCAATTTTCCAAATTATCTAAATGCTTAATTATTTTTTCAATCTTATCAGATATATTCTTTCATAAATAATCATTTATTAATTCATATAACCTCTTTAGTTACTCTCCCTGCAAAGGGTGTAACTGATATACTCTAATAAGACTAAATTTATGCTGAAATCTAATTAAATTTAAGCAATTTTATCTTCAGCTGTTTGAAAATATGTTTACAATATTCCAAATATTATTTCATGAAATTTTCAAAATATATAATCTAAATTTAACTACTTAATTTTAGTATCTAAGGTAAATAATTCAAGTCTAAATTCTCTCATGAAAATGTATTTTATACTATTTAAATATAAAATTTAATAGATATCCATCTTACTTCAAAAAAGGTTTATTTGATATTATCTTTTGTAACATATTTCCACATTTTTTCCTTAACTTCTCCTGTTTCTTTATAAATAATATACCAAGATATTGGCATTTTTTAACTTATCAAAATAACAGTTCCTGATATTATTTACAGAAGATGTCTTAGATTTAATCCTAAAATATTGTTATATTTTATCATAATTTATATATTGTTGCACACTTTGGCTAGTAAACATTATAATAAATAAAATTAATATTTGTTTATCAATGGATTCTTATAATGAAACCAAGTACAAGGAATTAAAGAAGAAGTATGCTATTCTAATGAAAGTATATCTTATTTCTTATTGTAATAGCAATATCAAATGATTTAATAAGAATATGAAAAAGTTAATGGTGAATTAGCAGAATCTAATTAAGAGAAAAGAATTCTCCAAAATCGAATTAATGAAATATTAGGAAAATAAAGTGAAGACAATTGAATTTATAATATCACTGAATTTATATCAATTGAGAAATATATACTTAAAGAATTCAAAATCCCTACAAAATTTTAATTCAATTTTTTAATGTTTTTATAATCACATAGAAAAAAATCTCAACCTTCTTTGGTTGCTTATTATGAATTTAAAATTTAGGAAATTAAAAGCTACCCTTCCTAAAGAGTAGTCATAACAGAATAGAACACAAAGAATTATGCAAATTTGAGACTTGGAACATCTAGTCCCATTGGTAGTAAAAGTAGAATTAAGACTCTACCTCCAGTAAAAAAAGAAAAAGTTATTCCATTTGAACATGATTATAACACTGCTTATAGAACAGTGTTTAGCTAAAGAAATCTTTTCAATCTAATAGGTGGAAAAAACAAGTGAGTATATTATTATTTTCCTTTTTTTAAAAATGTGTATAAACTTAAAATCTTAATGAATTCATTTATAAAAAGAACATAAATGTTATGGTGTATACTAATCTCAAATTTATAAAGTTGATAAAATCCTTGAATTAAAAATTTCTAGAATGCTTCAAAAATGTTAAGATCAACATTAAAATTTTTAATGATAGAACAACATCTATACTTATCTACAATTAAATGATATGTGATGTAATAATCAGAAAATAAGATTCAGTAATATATCAATTATTTTGTGATAAGAAAAGTCTAATTCTTTAAATTATATTCAATTTACTTAATAGTAATTTATATTATTATTAAATATAAGATCAAGAATTTGTTTAACTTAGAATTAAACACTAAAATTGTTTGACCTTTAACAAACTAATAAAAATCTGTATTTATTTATTTTTTCAAAGAATTAAATTGTGCTATGAATAGTAAATCTAAAAATAAAATTTATTTTTTAATTATTGTATTAATTTAGATTGTTATAATTAATAAATGACTTTAAATCACATAATAACTTAATTTCTTAGATGTTTAATATATTTTAGAATTTTAACTTAGCCATTAATTTTACTTTTGCTTTTGAGCTTTTAATAAATCATCATCATCTTTTAATTAAATCAATATTTTCTAATAAATTTACTTATAGAAGATAAAATATGGTCATTTTACATAGTATTTAAGAAATTAAAACATCTTTATGAAGAACTTATTACAGGCTATCAAATAATTTAAATGATTTTTATACTTTTTAATGAAATATAGCTAACTTAGATATTCTTATATTTAAAATATACTTGTATTTTATAGAATAATTGAGAGAAGAGTCATTTCTATTCAATATAAGACAATATAATCTGGAAAGAACTTGACTTTCATATATAACTAATATTAAATTTTAATATAAAAATTGAACTACCTTGAAATCCAATTTAATTAAATATAAATATTTTATAATTAATACTCTCACTTATATTTAGAAAAACAATATAACCAAATTTTATTTCATTATAGAAATAAGATTATGTATTTATTTTCATAATTATTTTGCTTAAGAACAAAACTCAAATTTATGAAGAGAAGAAAATGATTATAATGTAGGAATTGCAATGAATTCTTTATAAATTAAAACATTTCTTTTTATGAATATATTTTCAAGGTTCTTAAATTTATGTTATTACTTATTATACTTTAGACCAAAATTATTATTAGATTTCCAAATATTATTATTCACATTAGGCTAAATCTGCCAGAATAGATTTGTAAGTTTAATGTTTATCTTTTTTAAATTTATCAATTGTATATGATGTCAATACATCTGTAACCAATTAAAATAATAATTTATATTAATCTACCTCTTTTTGAGTCTAAATATTATTAATAAAATTACTTCATTTAATTATAGTTCTAATTTTGATTTTTATTCTTCCAAACTTAGTTTACTAAAAGAACCTTTCATTGTTGAATTTCCTTTCATAATTTTATATAAATCTGATTATTCTTCACTTAACTTTTATTCTGCTTTCTATTTTGATTACATAAGAGAATCTCTAGTTTAAAAAGCTTATAAAAATGCTTCAATATCTCTTACCTCTGTTGAGATTAAATCTTATATTTTATCAAGAGAATTATTACATGGATCTCTCTATATTTAGTTATTAAAAAATACAATCTTTTTGGTTAGTTCTAATATATCTGTATTTGCAGGATTAGCAAATATCAATTTATTTTAAGGTACCCATTCCTGTAGAATTTATTTTTCATATTCAGATATGTTAAGTCCAAATATTGTGAAAAAGGTTTCTTTCAACTATTTTCGACTAGAACTTAAAGATTTGGATTGTTCTAATTATTTTGTCAAAGAGATTTAAGATTATTTTAAAAACGATTAAACTCCACTCATTTTCTTAATCATTTCAGGTGAGATTTCTTTGATCTCAGTGATTTGAAATGTTTACTTATATCTATCTGTGTAAGCAAATACATTTTATTTAGGTATTTAAGCTAATTACTATTTGATATAGTATATATCAAAATACTTTATTTAAATCAGGATTTGTTGACCTTAAAAAGATATCATAAAATTCTTCTGAATAATAGAGATGCTTAATCTACATCATTTTCATACAAAATATATTAAGCAATCTTGTCCTTTCAATTATAATCTCTGATCCAGTACTAACAGATTTCTCAGGAATTGGTGGTATATATTATCCAGGCCATTTAACTAAGAGTAATTCTCTTATCGTATAGAATTCATTAAATCTTCTTTAAGTTTCAAATTCTCCAAAGCAATCTTTTCCTTTGATAGTGTAAACATAATAAGTTGAAATATTTCCCCCCTTTTAAACAGGATCACTCACTTTTATTTCAATCTAACATATAGAATATGAAAAAATACAGGAAAACTATAATCAGCTTTTAAGAATAAATTGTCCAAATTTTATGTAATAATTACTTCACCTTTTTCAGTGATTTATTATTTTTCTTATTACTCTTTTACTTAATTTTCTTCTATATTATTTTCATTTTTAGTAATTTCAGATTCAACATCCTTCTGTATGATTTATTCTTATGTCTATGATGATTGTTATTTTTCTTTAATGTCTTCCTTATCTTATTTAACTTATTCTGTAGCTATTTCCTGTTTTTCTTAGTTTTCTTAATTCTCAACTTTTTTTTGAGTATCCTGTTTCACTTATTGTTCTTATTGATTTTATCCTTCTATTTATGTTTATTGTGCTTGTTCTTATGTACTTTCTTAAAGGACTTGCTATTTTTCTGGGACAGTGTCTTCTGACATATTGTAAATTAATTATATATAAGGGGAAGTAAAATGAATGTATAAAACAATTCATTTTCTATACAGAATTTGTAATTTTTTAATAAATTCTTAAAAAAAGCAATATAAATTATTAAATTATGCAAAAAGAAATTAAAGAAGAAGAGTGTGATTATTCATTCAAAAGTAATATTAATATATATTATAAAAGTTGCCTTGGTTGGAGAATGCGATGTTGGGAAGACGTGTATTTGGCAAAATTATTTGAAAGGAATGATACCAAAGAAAACTGTGCCAACAATAGGAGTAGAATTTGAAACAAAATTCATTACACTATCTGATGGATCAAGAATCAAAGCCCAGATTTGGGATACAGGTACTGAATGATTATAGGAAGCTGGTTAAGAGAGATATCGTTCACTTACTAATAGGTAGATTATTTATTATTGACACATAAAGTCATTTTAGAAAAGTAGTTGGAGCATTAGCAATATTTGATTTAACCAATAAAACAAGTCTTGAAAAATTATAACTTTGGATTTAAGAATTAAAAAATCATGGAGATAGTGATATTCAAATAATACTTGTAGGAAATAAATTAGATTTAGTCTAAAAAAATCCTAGTTGTAGATAGGTATTAGAAGATGATATTAAATAATTTGTAAAGTAAAATAAATGGAAAGTATTTGAAATATCTGCATAAGTACCAGAAAATGTTAATCAATGTTTTGAATGTTTATTTATAGGTTTATTTATTATATTGATTAATTAATTAGACCTTTGTAAATAAAAAACTGGATTTAGAGGAGGGGAACAATCATAATTAAAACTTATGAAATAATCTGCAAATTTAAATGAAGGAAAATGTAAATGTTGATAAATAATTATATATTTAATATCTAAAATCATATATATATCCATTCTTTTTAGTTTTTATTATTAATTATTTATTAGAATAATCAATAAAATACATTCTATTTTCAAAACCTAATTATATAAGTATAGATTATAATTGTAGAAATTGAAATCTTTATGAATTAAAATTAATTATTAACATGATTATAATTTAATAAGATTTAATTAAAATATGATCAAGAGTCAAATACATTTTGAATCTAATGAGGAGCATCATATATTTCGGTTGCATCTGCTGATTATTTTTCTTATTATTCTTAAAACATGTAAGCTTTTGTTTCTATTGGCTATTATTGAACCTCAGAATTAATAGCATTATTCCAATCAATTTCAAATCGTGTTATACGTGGTTTATTATTAAAGATTTATCTGGCAATATCTTCAATAATCACTTCTTAAGGGTCGTTTTCAATGTTTTCAGGAGATGTATATGTATTATATACATAATATCCAGCTCTAAAGAATTCTCTATGTCTGTATGAACAAGTCAAGATGAAGGCAGTGATACCCAATACTTCATCTTGTGGAATCTTTTTCCAATCAGGAGGATTTGATTCAAGAGTGAATTACTTTGTACCTTTAGTCAAAGGTCCCATAGAAAATTAGTCTAATATTTAATCATGAGCTTCATCTTTTGGAGAACCTATATAAAGAAGTCTAAAAATAATAAATAAATATGTACGTCCATTCTATTTCATCTTCTATATCAGCTATAACATCAAAGTAAATATCCATTGTTATTGGACTTGTAAATGGTTAGGGTTTGTCATCAACTACAATATTAGTAATACTAACAAAGGCCATTAACTTTTTTTATTAATTAAATTATATATTTTGGAGGTTAATCAAAAAGTACATATAATTGAACAAATAAATAGTGTTTAAAAAATTGCAATAGTAATTTAGAAAATCTATATTGAAGAAATATGAGATAAAATAAGATAAATATATTATAAAAACACTATTAATAATCTTATATGAATGATATCCATAGTAAAAATATCTAAAAGAAAGTATTAGTGATTTAATCGAATAGGGAAACAAAGAGTCATAGTAAATAGCATGATAGGAATTTGTATGTGTATTTTTGTTGTTTCTGATTAAATATTTTTGTCATTTTATTTGTTCCAATTTAGAATCTACATTGAGATCTTTAGGAACAAATGCAAACGGTAAAATTTCAGTGCCCTTTGAATATTTTGGTTTAGTATGATCCTTTCCAATAGCAATTATTTTAATATCATTCCCAGGATAACAAAACTATATTATTAGATTGAAGTTATTACTTCAATTATTGTTTATCTACACATACCACAAGAGAATGTAGGATCATCAGTATCACTAAAATTTTAATTTGAAGATATACCATGAAACTACAATTGTTGAAATTTAACGATCTCCTTCACTTACGGCTTTGCATATTGCTACACGTTCAGCACATATACAAAGACCATAACTTGCATTTTCAACATTACATCCTGTATATATTTTGTTATTTTTAGTCAACAAAGAGCATCCTACTTTAAAATTTGAATATGGACAATAGGCTCTTTCTTTAGCTTTGAGTGCTTCTTGAATTAATTGGTCTTCTGTAATTTCCATATTTAATTTATTATTTATATCTTAATTAGTCATTCCAATTCTTTTCCTAAGGTTTCAAATGGCAAAAAACAATTTGAAAATGACGTAATAATAGAGAGAACGGAAAACAATACAAAAGGACTTCTTAATTGTTGGCTATTCATATACATGCATATCCATGGCATGATCACTCCTCCCAATCTTCCTATTCCATTAGCCATACCTATTCCAGTTGTCCTAATTTTTGTTGGATATACTTCAGCTGTATATTAAAATCTAAAATAAATATAAATTATGATACGAAAAGATGAAAGTCATAGATAGGAAAAACTTAGATGCAGTTGCCCAATATATAAAATGATGTTCAATATCATAAAATGCCATTAATGCTGTTAAGGCTTGTATTGTAAAGAATATAATTAAAGAGTTCTTTCTTCCAAATCCTTTTAATTCAATAAAGAAAGCAGCTGCTACTGCACCCAAGATATCACTTATACAAGATATTACTAATTAAATTATCTTATCCCTTCCAGTTTAAGTTTATTCAATATGTGATAAAATGTCTGGCAATAATAGTACAATTCCATAATATACAAATGAAAGTATAAACCAATTAAACCAAATTAAAATTGTAAGAAAAAATCGATTATTTTCAAATAATGACATTATTGAAGCCTTAAAAATAGATAAAATTAATACATTATTTTGATTTTTGGCAATTCTATTCATAGCATGAGTCCAATTAGATAATTTGATCTTCATATCATCAGTAAATTAAATTGATGATTTATTTGATTTAATCATTTCTTCAATAATATTGTAAGCTAAATCTTTTTATCCACTTAACAAAGCAAATCTAGGACTCTCTCTTAACCAAAATAAACTTATAAACCAAGCTAAGAATCCTGGTAGACAACACCAAAATGTTAATAATCTCCAATTACCTTCATCCAATGATATTAATGTATATTCAGCAACAAATAATCCAAATAATTAACCTATTGCAAAAGTCAATGTTATCAATCCCATATATCTCCCTCTTAAATGACCAGGAGTAATTTCAGATATCATAGTTACTCCACAAGGTGCAAATAGACCAACTATTTATTAATTTATTATATAATACCTAGAATTCCTAATAATGCTCTTACTGTCAAAAGTGAATAGATTTCTTAACAAGCTATAGTTCCTAAGGATAACAGACATGTAAAAAATGAACTTATTAGAAATGGTTTCTTTCTACCAACTCTATCAGCCAATTGTCCTGACAACATTGAACCTACTAAATATCCTACCTGAATTAAGATGACACTATTACAAAAACAAAACTTGCTTATAATGAATTTAATGAATCAGAAATGTGCCATTCATTTTTTAATATTGGAACCATTAAAGTAAATATAGTAATCTAAGCTCCTTCACTAATACTCATCAAGGCCATAATACCATATATCCAGTATTAGAATTTTCCAAAATTGATTTCATCTAATAAATGATCAAATGACAGTATTTAATGTTCAGGAATAGAGACCTGACTATTATATTCTCTAATTAATTTCAATTCTGAATTATCCATTCTTCTAGGAGAAGTTATTGAAGCATTTCTAGATAATTTGAGTGGACTACTCTCCTATTTAGAATACCATGGGCCATTATCCATTAAAATTTATTAATAAAATATATAAAAGTGATTATTCATATAAATTTATTAAAGAGCAATTTTATTATTTAGATCTCTTATCACTACTCAATAGTCTTAAAAATAAGTTGTTCAATTCATCTAATTCAAATCTATATTTCTCACTTCACTTATTGAAGTGAGAAATATACACATAAATATAATATTCTTTATTATATAATTACTTGATTATTCAAATATTATGCAATAAAAATGTAAATAGATTTGTCTTTATTAATTTTAATATTATTACATATACTAATAATTTAATTTATAATTCTCAAATATTCATAATAGTATTTAATTAATAAGTATGTTCAAGGTTCAATTTAAATTCATTCAAATTTTATATTACATTAAACTCGATAATTCGATCATTTTTATTGTTTATTATACACATTACTTCAGTTAAACATATTTCTTATAATATCTTCTTATTCACTTTTTCAAGAATAATATTCAAATATCTTTATTCTCTTGTCTAGTATTGTCTGAATTAATTGTATTCTTTCTTAAATGTAATCAAACAACAAATAACTTAAATTCCTTCAACTTATTTTTGTATAGCCTAACATAATACTAAATTAATAATTACATTAATAAAGATTTTCTAACAATCTAATTAACTGATATTTATCACAATTACATTTAAAATTAACTAAAGTATCATTGCATAATTAGTGTAACATTAAGTTTAACTTTCTTTAAAATATATTTCTATTTCCTATTTTGGATCATATATACCCCACATAGATTAAATATCACTGAACAGTAATGAAAAATGAAAATACTTCATTTCTCCAAATTTTGTAGTACCAATAAATAATTTCATATTATAATATCCAAATATAGTTTTATAAAGAAATTATATAGACTTTTTTAAAATTAATTATTGATTCCTATTTATTAACGATTATTAATTTAATAATGATTTCAAATACCCTAATGATAAACGAGAATAATCAAAACAATTAGATAAATGATGATTCAAAAATTTGTATCTACTATTTTTCTTTTTCAATTAAATCATTTTCTTACATTGAGTATCCTCTTGAAGTAAAATAATTATTCTTGGATTACCATTGTTTAAACAATTTTACAAAGATACTTTATAGATTTGTTTAAATTTATCAGAAGAGATCTCAGCTGATCTTTCACTAACCTTATCTTTGATTAATTTAAATAACACCTATTCTAAGGTTTATTTCAGTTAAGCTAGAGCACTTAGAGTTTAATCAGATTCTGCATTCAGAGTTTTTTAATGTTAAAAGGAGACTACTTTATAATTTCTTATAAAATATGTAAAATCTTCTTAATTCTTAATTAATTTAGTAGCTTATTTATTTACATGTAAAAGCTAAAATGCATTTATTTATTCATTGAAAGAACATTGAACAATTTTAAATTTAAATACATTATCTAAAGACTATTACAATTAAGTATCTTCTGTTTTTAGTAGAAAAAACATTCTTTTAGTTTTCTCTTATATCCAAAGTGATTTTAGGACTAACAACAAAGCTAAAATAAACATTATTTGTATTGAATTAAAAAATTCTTAAACATACGTGCACATAATCATTAATCCAATTTAATTAAGCAATAATATTCCAAAATTGGCAATAATATTGGATCCAAGTAATAAACTATATTAAACCATTGCTACCGTTTACCCAGCTAAAAAGAGAACATTAGAATTGGCAAAGACAAACAATAAAAAATAAATCATCACTCCAAGTAAAAAATTTGTACAAGCCAGAATTATATTAAAAAGGTCAGGGTACTTTCTTACAATTTTATGGCTTATATAAAAGCTAATTGGAATCAAACCCAATCCATACTTCAATAGTCCAAATCCAAAAGGCTAAAAAAACTCCATACAAAAAACACCTATTGCACTTATAGTTCCTATGATGCAGGCCCAAGTGTAAAACTTAAAGAGTTCATTAAATTGATCAGCAAAATACTATTGCTCAAGATTTTGATTATTAAATCTTAAAGTGTATTTATTCATTTTATAAATGACAACTTAATCAATTATTGAGAAGAAATAACAAATAACAAAAAATTGGAATTAAGAATTAATTTCTTATTATTGATATAAAAATCAATCATTTTGGTCATCATTTTCTTCAGCAATCTCTTCTGGATATTCATTTTCACCTTCCTCTCCTTCTTCATTTAATTATTCAGGATCTATTCCAAAAAGATGTAAATTTTGCTATTAGCCAATAAACATTAATTCATACACTGAATATATCTCTAAATTGATTATTTTCATTTGCCAACTTCTCTACTTCTTCTTATAATTGTTATTTCTCATCACTCATGTGTTAATATAATTACTTGAAATTTTCGATTAAATCTTTATAATATATTAAATTAAATTTACCCTCTAATTTATGAATTTCCTCATCTTTAGCTTCTAATTATTAACCTAATTCTTAGATAATTTCATCTTTTTAATTATCATTACTTTTAACTGATTTTTTATTTGATGATTATAAATTCTTTTTAGAATTATTCATTAATTCTTCTCTCATTTATTATAATTCTTCTTGATTATCATGTAAATTTTGTTATAATTATTCTATAATTTGATCTTTCATAGATGATTCTTATTATAATTCATTTAGAGTTTATTGTAATTCTTCCTAATAAATTTACAAAAATAATTACTAAATTGTATTCTTAAGCTATACTTTCTAATTATTAATTTTTTTCATTAAGAATCTATTCTAATTCATTAATTTAATCTTCATATTGATATCTAACTTTATTTACTTCTTCTTATATATGTTTATTTGTTTAATTTAATTTATTATTCAAATTTCTATTTTCTTCAGTTAATTATTAAATTTTTTATTTATCTTCTCTAATTTTTTGGTCAAATTCTTATTCTAATTTTTATCTAAAATACAAAGATTTTAATACAATCTTCTTTATGCTTCTCTTTCTTTCTAATTAACTTATGATAATTCTGCTCTTAATTTTTCTGTTTACTATTATTCTTCTTTTAATTAGCTGATTAATTGCTGACTATTTCTCTCATTATCAGAAGTAATCTTTTAATTAGAAGAGTATGGTCGTTTATCATTAGAAAGATATTATTGATCAGCTCTTCTATCATGACTATCGATTTTTTTATCCAAATAATCATGTTTATTGCTGACCCTATTAATATCAATAGTTTTGGAATAATCAGGTTTCTTAGAATCATTGTTTAGAAAGTCCTTAGTTGGAACTTGAGGTTAAGGTTTATAATCATTTTTTTTGAATGAATTTCTTTAATCATTTTTTTAGGGAACAGGGACATTACTTTAATTTTTCTAATACATTTCTATAGATCAAATTAATACTATTTATTACCTTGATATGGAATGATTTCAGTTTTATGTTGCTAATCTACAGGTCCTGTTCGATTATGAATTTGAGAATCACATGAATAACATAATCTGTATGTTTGACCATATCTACATTAGTTACACTTTATAGTAGCAGGTCTTTGTTAACATTTTTAACACTTGACAAAGAGAGATTACATTTTCAAAGGATGTTAAGAAAATATATGATAAAAATCTTAAAATAAATAAATTTGAATTTATTTTAAAATAAAAGTATTCATTAAGATTATAATTACCATTCGTAAATCTATGTTTGGCATGAGATTTAGATAAGTAACCTAATGTTATTGATCACACCTTTGTCAAATGGATACCTAGAATTTTGGTCAATATACGAAATCCTTTTCCAACTCAAGTATTCCCCTGATATTATTGATCACTTTACATGTTGTAATATTTTTGGCTACATAAAATGCATGAAATCCAAATAGAGTTATCAATAAGATTACAATAATCCCCATAACTACAAGTAATCCAATATTTTGAACTGAAATTCTTATCCCTACTATTAATTGGGCAATTTGAACAAATAAATAAATCAGAAATATCAATTTATTCTTTTCTCCTATACAAATACCAATCCAAGGGCAATGATGATCAAACATTGGAATACATTTTTTACAATATTAACAATGTTTGGCTCTCATTGGTTATTCATTTAAACATTGCATACAAAATCTCTTTTCTGCTGCTAAAATTGGTGGACTTACTGCATTTGAAGTACTAATACAAGTTTATTTATTTGGAGTATTTATTTTTGCTTATTCAGATGAAGGAGATGAAAGCATTCCTCTACCTGATAAGATGTGTTGATTATCAGCTTATTATTATTATTATTATTCTGGATAATATCTAAAAATTATATGAAATTATATTTTACTTTTAAATTGTGTTGTCATTATCTGGACCATCTTTGAATTGATCTAATGAAATCTAACCATTAGATTCATCATTTGCTTAAGCATTAAGTACTTCTCTTTTTACGTTATTTTCAATCTATACTTCAATTTAATTGTTCTCAAGTGGAATTTCTACTTTAACTATTGGAATAGTTCCAGGATCTTTGATTCGAACTATAAAATATAATCCACATGAAGCAAACATTAAAGGTCTAGTTGATAGTTCATTAATATAACAACCCAAAAATGTAATAATACAAAAGGAATTCTTTGTATGCCCATACATGTAAACCAATCTGCAGAACCATAAATATTGTTGGCCCAAGATATGCTAAAATACATAAGAATTAATTACTTTTCTAATTGTAAAATAGACAAGCTGCTTTCATCTCTCCTAATATTATTTGTTTATAAATATTTGAATAATTATTATCATTATACTATAAAACTTAATTATAATCTTCTTCATTTTTACAATCATTTATATCCAATCAATTTTGTTTTTCCATACATTTATTAACATTAACATTTATGATTAAACAATATAAACATTATTTCATTTCTCAATATTAATAAACTTTTCATTTCAAACTGAAAATATCTATTATTATGATTACTAATTTCAAAGAATTACCAAGCAACTCTTAAACTATCATCAATGCCCTTAAAGATCTCAATATATTAGACAACAACAATGAATTCTAATCCTAATAGTAAATTTCTATTCGTCTTTAATCCTTTTTTGAGAATGCACAACAAAAAGTACTAATATACATCCATTATTGTAGTCACAATTCTTAAAGTCTTTATTTAAAATATTTGAAAAAGAGACATAAGAAGAGGGAAATTTATAAAAAAAGTTAAAACTTTTACTTTTCCTTCATATTCTTTTAAGTTCATCAATAGCTAGATCTGAATTATCTAAAATTTTTATATCAAAACAAATCAATATTCAAATCAACAACACTACTTTAGGAAAGGTTTGTCAACAATATTATTTTTATCTATATAAATTAGCATCTTAAACTACATTTATAAATGAAGACGTAATCAATGGTGATATATTAATATATTTCACATTATCAAATTAATGTAATTTAGGAATTAGCATTTAATCCTTAATTGAAGATGTAGAATCATTCTAAAATAATTAATTGATTGGGAATATAGTTAAATCAATTTATTACGATTTGCAAAACATAGCTATTTTTATAATAAAAGATGTGAAGTCGCTTATTGAAAATTAACATAATATTAAATAGAACAAATTACATATTCTTGAATTATATAAGGAAGTAAAATCTTATTTTAATATGTTAGTGTTAAGTACTTTAATAAAAGATGCTTGGGTTTTATCGATTCAATCGTCATTTTTCTCATTTTAACTAAATTATGCCTCCTTTTTCATTAATTATTGAATAACACTACCTTAAAGAATTACAAGACAATAAACCAAAAATTCACTCTCTAAAACATTTGTCTAAGCTAAGTGAAGAACATATTAAATTTTAGCCCTAGACTTCTAAATAAAGATAAATGATATAATTTGAATTTGTAGAAAAGAAACAACAACAAGAATCTCCTCAGTTTTCATTTTCAAATTGATATTTATTAATTTGTTATAAATTTTATGTAATGTACTTTATTTTATAATATCATTTTCATTTCTTGGCTTTGGTTGGAGCTTTTTGAGTTGGTTATGGTACAGTCTTGACTGGAGCTGCTGCTTTTACTGGAGCAGCTACTTTGGCTGGAGCAGCACCCTTAGCTTATGTTGCTGGTTTAGCTGCTTAAGTTGATTTGACTTATTTTGTATCTTTAGCCTTATGATTAGCTTAATTATATTACTTTTGGTTATTCCTTAGTCTTTTCTTTGATTTCTGATGAAGCTTTTCTGTGCTTCTTGTGAGCTTCATGGACATCATGAGCCAATTTTTTATATGCTTCTAAGGCTTATTTGGCTTTGGTTCTTCTAGCTTATTCTGTCTTCTTTTGAATTGTCTTTCTTCTCAATCTTGATTCTGTGACGAGTCTTTAAATCTTTGGTGCCTTTTATCTCTTCTTTCCATCTTTTGTGGTCCATGTTCTTCTAATGAGATTCTTTTAAACTATAGCAACACCATCAGTCTTTTTGAATCCAAATAATCTTCTCAATTTAGTTAATCTCTTTGGACCTAATCTTCTTGGAACATTTTAATCTGTGAGTCCAACTATTTCATTGGCACCCTTCTTTACGACTTATAAGGCAAGTACTCTGATGTCTTGACCTACAATGCATCCTCTAATTGATTTGCGTTTCATCTCTCCATCCTTTCTTGGTCTGTAACCCTTATGTCCCTTTCTCATGAGAATTCTAACTCTTCCCTTAAATAGAACACCTTGTCTCATTGGGAAACCTTGTTTATCGTTACCACCTGTAATCTTGAATACATATCCTTTGTATTCATCACCTAAGTTGTCAGCTTCTACAACTTGTCCCATTCTCTTATCAAAGAATATTGAGCTACATTATCACCAACAATTTATTACCATTTCTTGTCATCATCAATTTCGACTGTTTTTTAAGCACCTGTCAAAGGGTAGGAAATGTTGAACTAAGCAAAGCATATTTAGTTACCTTCATAAAAATCTTGGATTTTTTTAAATTAGATTTAAAATTATGTGTTTCACATTTTAATATTATCTAACTGTGTGAGACAACAATAATATTAAATAAATAGAAATAAAAAAAGCTTTTCATTTTGATTGAACAAAAGACAAAAAAGATTTGAGAATATGTCATTTTTATTAAAGTAAGTCTTATAAAAAAAAGAAGATTGAAATAATTTACAAAGATTTGATTTTCATACATTTAATTTTTTTATGTCATTTAAATAAAATACTAATAAATAAGATAAGAATTCTTTAGAACTTCCATAATTAAAATAGATAATTTAAAGAATAAATAATCATCAATAATTTTGAATCATGTCCTGATAAAAATAAAAAATAAATGTTAACTTGATTTTAGGATAAATAATACTCTATTAAATTGTAAATTTTATAATATTTATAATAATTGATAATAAAAATAGAAGAATAACTTAACATTATAGACTATTTACTAAATAATTTTTTTGTTTTTTTATAATAAAAATATTCAAATGTGAAAATTGAATGCGCAACTCGTCACGTCAAATATTTATGTTAAATTATAAAATCTTTATTGTAATTTGAAATTATATTCATTTGTAACAATTGTAAAATGAACAAGAACATAATTCTTTATGCTTTGTTTTTAGTCCTATGTGTTTAACCAACAAAGGCTTATTCTGTTTTTGACTTTGGATATAGTGATTTAGAGAATGCCAATCCAACATAATTAGTTTATAATGTAAAACTTACATCAAAAACAGATCGGCGTTTACTCATTCTTAGGAATATTACAGTATTTGCTTGTTAGTGCTATATTTGAATGGAAAAATCCTATGCCTAAAAATAAGTTAAGAATGGAAAATATAAAAAGGGAAATCAAATATGGTACAACATAGATATTTTTACAAGTTGCATATTCAATGGTATAATTACAATATGATTATAATAGATATTCTATCATTATGTCTATCCATATTGTTAATGGTATCGTTATTATACAATAAACTCATATGGATTATTGAATTTTGGATACGGAATGGTCTTTTTGTATATTTGGACCACAGGTATGAATTAAAAATGTATCAAATAGTATTGGGATATTGGGTTCATAGGATTTTCCATTTCAGATTTCTTTATAAGCATGTTCATAGTGTACATCATTCATTTAGAGAACCAACTGCCTTTGGATATTGTGCAACACATCCACTTGAAGGAATCAGTGAAGTGAATACTGTGTTACATTTGGCAGAATTGATAATACCAATACATCCTTTGATGACTTTGTTTTTCTTTGAGTACATCACAGTAAATGAGATGATGGGACATGATGGAGGGTAAAATAATAATAATATATATTATAGTGAATATGATCATTCTGATCATTACAGACATCATCTATATTATGTAGTAAATTATGGTGATACAATAATGGATGAATTTTTTGGGACTGTTTACAATTCTGTAATATAATTCAATTTATACATAGAAAAATTACCCAATAAAAGCTAAATGTACTTATGTAGAATCTATTGAGGATAGAACAGAGGCTATATTTATGAAATATAAATGAATGTTATAATTAAATATTTTATTATTTAATGGGTTGTTTATAGTCTAGAAATCAGTAACTTATAGAAGAGTAAAAAGAATAAGCTGCTATGAATGAATAAGATAAGAGTATAGATTATTAATCTATTTAATAGATAACAATTTAGATTTAGTAAGTTGTCCATGCTCAGATAGTAATAATAGTTAAAACAAATCTACAAATAGAGTATCTATTGAAGAATGTAGAAATTCTTTTAATCGAAGTATTGATCTAATGCAAGATATCAATAAAAAATTGGAAGCATTTTCAGGAAATGATTCTGATCTATCAGATAGTGAATTATAATGATATTAGTATTTTATAGGACTTTATACAATCATATTCATTATTATTATTAATGTGAATCTACTATTTCAGAATATTTTTTGATGCTTAAATTGATATTTGCCAATTATAATGACATTGCACCATCAGAAAACTAATTTAAGGATTCATAAATTGGTTTTACAATTACCTTCAAGAATCCAATCTCATTTTTCGAATATTATACTTCATCATCTAAATTTCTTAGGTATGGAGTCTATGCAATACCAACAATATCTTCTAATTAAGACTTTAAATTTAATATTATCAGTAATTTACTTAAGCTTGAAATTCTCTTCTTAATCTTTCACTCCATGCTCTAGCAACTTAATAAGACTTAGCTGCTCCAAAAAAGTCAGCTGCATGAGTCAAGAATCCACTTAATAAAATTTTATTATCTTCAGATTCTAGTTAATATATAAGTTATATATAATACAAAAGATTTTGGGATCCCCTTAAGATTGACCAAACTTTATTTCAATATCATTAAGTAATTTAAAATGATATTAATTATCTGTTGCTAATACATTATTCACAACATATTTTCTAATCATTATTTTATCTGCTCTAGGAACAGATTCTAAAAAATCACATTATTTTAATGCTAATAACTTATAAGTTACTGCTATATGATGATTTTCCAATACAGATTTATCATTATATATCAAAGCCAATTTAGTTTATGTATTTATTTAAAATAAATTATTTGTTCCAGGATGTCCAACATCATGACATAAACCTGTTAATGTCATTGCAAATCTTTATTAATCATTGAAACAAAATCCGAATTTTGGATGATGAGCAAAAAGAAAACATCCATGCATTACATTAACTCCATGAGTAAAATTATGAAATGGATTTGCTGTTTTATTATATTTGTATTTTAATGCAGTTAAAAAATTTACAAATTCTTTATTTTTTAATGGATATTATTTAGTGTATTCAAGCATATCAAATATGTTATAAACTATTATAAATTTATTCTTATATAATTTCTTATTTAAAAGATTGAATTCGTAATCTAATAATCTTTCTTATAAATTAGGATCTATTGCTATTTTTCGTCCATCTGGATTTTTCTTATCTTCTTCTTCATATTTATTTAAAAATGATGCTAATTTTCTTGATTTTTTTTTCATTGTAGCTGCTCTATATTTCTCTAAAGCTTAATCATGATCTTAATTATAAACTATAGCCAATTTTCTCATATCATGATCAGGCAAATACATTACCAAAGCTGATTATCTAAAGAATTAATTTTCCATCATTAATTATTTTGATTTAAATGCTAATGTTGCTTTCTTTAGTGTTAATAATATTTTAACTTTATTTCTAAAAATCTGTAACAATTCATTAAGAGGTCTTATTAATAAAATTTATAAATACCTTTTTATTTATATATTAAATAAATATAGTAAAATTTATTTAATGTCTTATTTTATTCCTCTTTCAACTTTTAATGAAAATTTATAAAATCCATCATCAAATTCCAAATGATCATTTTTAGATTCAATTAATTCTTTAACCTTTGAAATTACAATAGGATTTTTTTCAAAGATTTTATATATGGGATCTCCATAATTAATATCTCTAGATAATTTAAATCGAGACCTATATATATAGATATAAATATATATACACAAATTAATCATGATTCCATTAAACAGTCATATAATATAAATATAAGTAACTGTTAAAGAATAAACACATAATCATTTCATTATGTTAAGTAACTTATTAAAAAGATTCTAACAAATTCTTTTTCTATTTCAATTTTTTACTATATCTTTTAATACTCTTTCTAAATGTACTCTAAATTTTTTCTTTCAATTATATAGAAAGATTTCCATCCAAATCTATATAAATACTATCCCATTCCTTATTAAAAGTTAATAATAAATAATCAGTCACTCTTTATTACATTAAATATTCTTTATCAATTAAACTAACCAAATTTTACAAATTAAATTATTTCATTATCTAAATTAATATATGAAATATTAGTTTGTATGTTAAAATATTTATAGTTCTTGATACCAACTACAGTATTTCCATTCTAATTGTTTATAACTTTTTTAATCCAACTATTTGATTTCCTTATTTGATTATGGAAATAATAGAGTTGTATAGAGAAGTTATCATTAGATATTATTTAAATTTGTTATTCACTTTTTCAGTAAAGGTTAGAAAAAATACATCATTATTTGATATTATGTAATACTATGGTAATTTTTCTATTTTTAATAAACTGAGATAATCTGATGGAGTTTCTATAATCTAATTATGAGATTGTTATTAAGTAAACTCTTGAATTTCTTGAGCATCTTTAATTATAATTGATTCAAAATTATTCGTAAGTATATGACATTAATGATCTTACTTAAACTAGAGTAAGCTAAACTCTTTAATATAAAATTGCTTAAGAATCAATCGTATAAGATCCTTAACTTCCTACTAATGATGTTAAGCAATAAAACACTCTTTATAAATTTCATTGATATCTTGCTAAGATCTAATTTAGATTCAATTTACCTTAATGTCACGATAAAACTCCTTAATCTTATTCTTGAGTTATTTACATATTTATACAATAGAATCACTAATAATAATTATTAGACTACTTACAAATAGGATTTGACTATGTTTTCATTTCCATTTTGATTATTTAGCATTTTAGATAATTCATCAATTAAGTCACTTTATGATAAGCCATTCTCATAGGAAACTAGTAATTCCTTTAATTGTGAGTGGTCCTTAGCAGCATGATCACAAAGTTGAGAATATTGGTCTGGTGTAATTAAAGCTTTGCTTTTAAGCTGAATTAATAAGAAAGTCAATCGACTAGATTGAGATAAATAGCTCATTTAATCTGATAATAATAATTGAATTAGGAATTGAATTTTAAAATTATACTTTTATCAAGAGCTTATGTTACAAGCAAATAATTATAATAATAGTGCATATTCATTATTATATGACAAGAGATTATTTGTTAGATGAAGGATTGCCTTAAATATCGTTATTTTCTATTATTGATCTTTTAATGAAATCTTTAGCCCATTATATATCCTCTTTCAATTCAATTACTTACTTTTGATACTTAAAACCTTTCTATATAAATTCTTTGTATTCTGGATTAAGTTCTTCAAAGATATTCAAAAATTGATAAAGCATATTTCTTGTAAATTGATAACTCTATATAAATATAATTTAAATAAACATACCTTTTACCAATTCTCAGGAGCCAATACTTTGAATATCCAATTTGTATCAAAACATCTTGAAATTGAACTTACTTTTCCTCCAATCATCAAAATCAATCGACTTACTTACAATATTAGAGTTACAAACAATGATGCTATCTATTTAAATTAGAAATTAATATTATACTAAAACTAAAGGGAATATCCAATGTGAAAATTTAGAAAATATCACTACTGTTAATGATTATACGAGAAACGTGACCACAAAGCAAAACTTAAAGACAGAATACAAAATAGGTAAATAAATAAAGCTATCTAAATCATAAAGGTATTTATTACCTAAATAGAATACGTTCACTCCCAATAAGGCTGAAATTATACGAGCACTCAAAACAACTGCAAATGCAGCTCCAAAAGCAACTAATTCAAGTAGTGCATATAAGAGATAACTGAATAACAATAGAGAATCAAATTTAAAGACTGTATCATAATAAATTAGAACTAAATAGAGAGATAAGGCTTTTGTTGTAAAATTGAGGAATGTCATAAATATTTCTATCTTCTCTATTTTATCTAATTTATCTAGTGTATCATTTAACATAGCTTAAACATCAAGATATTCTGCCTTATGAATATCATCATGATGAATATGAATTTGATTTCCTTCCCAATCTTTTCCTATTAATAGTTCTTGGTTATCCTTTTCTTTATTCATTAAAATATAAATAAATATTTATTATCTAATTCTTTTTAATAATCAATGACATACATTGATATCAACAATATCTATTATTAAGAAGACTCATTAATACAAAATCAAAAAGATCTATATAATTTTATTTTATTAAACAAATTATTTATGAAACTTATAACAGCCTTGTTACTAATTACACTTATATTAGCTGATCCTAAATTAATAGGACAAGAAACATAAATTAAATTAAATACATTTTTAGGCAAAGAAAATTGTAATGATTGCTAAGTTAAAGGTGGTTCATACTGTGAAATTAGAACTAATACTTATGTATGTTGTAGAAGTTATGATCATTGTTAGAAAGGTATTGGATGTATGTAAGCATTTACAGGTATCATTTTTTGAATATTTCTATAAATAAGTATTTTATTATTTATAATCATTTATCATACCCTTCTTCTTAAATGGAATTTTAAGTATGTTATGTTCCTCCTATATCTGAAAAAGTAAAACTAACATCTTGAATAGGATATTCTAAATAGTTTTCTGAACAAACACTCTTTTCTTAAGTATCCTAATATTATTCTTAAATATTAATTCTTTGCCAATCAAATTGTTATTGTTATTATTCATATGGATCTATATGTAATTAAAAATCTTCATAAAATTAATTAATCTCTACAGAATTATTTATTTATTCATTATTTGATATTTCATATTGATTTTCTTATTTTTATAATTTCTATTTTTTAATAAATCTTTCTAACTATTTGATCTTTTACATTTATTCTAATAACTATTATTTTGTCTTTTAAATTTCTGATTTACTCTATTAATACTAATTCTTAAATTTTTTTATTTATTTTTTTGAACAATAATCTGGAGTATGATTATTGATTTAAGAGAATGGATATTCCAACAAACACTATGTACATTTGAATGTTCTGAAGGAGCAATACCCATAATGTGTTTAGTAATCATAATAAGAAAATGTTTATGAACACCATGTACATTAAATAGGCTTAAATTCACATTCTTGAAACTATAATATTAATTAATATAATTTACATGAGTTTTACTATTAATTTTAATTATTTTACCAAGACAATATTAACAAATAATTAATCTATATTCACATTCATTATCATAATGTTTTTCTTTATTATCATAACAAATACTCTCTGTACACCCATTATTCTATTATTATATATTGGATGATAAATACATAATATTTGCAACTTATTTTCAATTTGCTCAACAATTTAAATAATAATTTTGGAGCTTAACTTCCATCATTTGGTTAATTTGAAATTGATCTACAACAAGGGCATGTTTTTGAATGATATTGATTAAACCTAATTAATATTTTAAATAATTAAGATACCATTATGAAAGACATTATTTACAAAATCCTTAACTACAATCTAAACATATTCTTGGATCAATCAATATATGAGAGCATATTGGACAAATTAATTCATCTATAAATACTTTAACTTCTTCAAAATTTAAAATTCTAACTACATCTATATATTCCTTTTCAAGTTGAGATTCTGATTAATTTAAAATCTAAGGATTATCCAATTAAGAGATTTATTGTATATTTTAATTTTAAATTAATTCATCTACAAATGAATCAGAGAATTGATTTAAAAAGTTCTCTATTTCAATTTCCAATTAATCAAAAGTTTCTTGCATATAATAAAGAATAAAACTATTATATTTATAATATAAAAAAAATTATTTAGTTTAAAATAATAGTTATACATTAATTTTGATTAAATCTTTTATGATGATTGTAATATTATGTTGTTTTATAGTTTTTGAATTGAATAATAAAAATAATTATTGTAATAAATGAAATACAAATAAAATATTAATGATAATTAATTGCAGTCATTAGAAAATAGGTTATTTGATTGAATAATAAATGATAAAGGAAGTTTGTGATATTTGCAATGATATTGAATGTATTGAATCTCATAAATTTATTCTAAAAACAGATTTATTGGATTTCTAATAAAAAGCACTTCCTTTACTAACATAACTATAAACCATATTATATGATCAATTACCTAATTAAATTGATTAACTAAATAAAATGATTAATTAAGCATATTAAGGCTTTACTAAAAGTTCTTAGAAGAAATAAATTGAAAATCTGATGTCTATATTACAAAATGAAGAATAGAAATATTAATTTTAATTAATAAATTTTTATATTGCACGTGATCAAATTAAATAAATAAAAGAGAAATTAAAAGAAGTAATAGATTTTGAATTAATAATCTAAAGATGTATATCATAATTTAATTAGAATTAAAATATTACAAAAGAAGTATAAACTATAAATTTTGATGATGATTAAGATCTTATTTAAACTACAAATAAAGAATAAACAGATTAATTATTTATAAAATAAATTGATATACCAATCTTAAATTAAAATATAATTGAAAAATCTAATAATTTTGAGATTCCAACAACTTTTAAATTTAAAAGAATGTATAGTATTACTTGGTTGAATGAAAATTTATTGGGAATAGCAGCAGGTGATTATAATCCATATATAATATTTGATCCTTAAATGTAGATAATTAAATAATAAATATTTTAAGAGAAGAATGGAGTTTATGATTCAATTGCAATAGGAAATGATAGAATAATATTAGCATATGTACATAATATCAAAATGTTTTAATGGATTAATAATCAATATATAGCAAATAAATTAGAATTTGAAGAATCTTAAGGAACACCAAGTAAACTATATTATTGTTCTTAAACATAATCAATATTTGCAACAAATACATTCTTTTAAGTTATATCTTAAAATTATGTATATTAATGGAAATTAGATTCTGGCAAATTAATAAAGTATAAAATTTAGGGTTCAACATTTGGTCCTATGTGTTTAATTAATTAAAAATTAATATTTTGTTTTAGTTTATGGGAAATGAAGAGTAGAAGTCAAAGATAAAATTTAATATATTTTTGGTAATATGAATAAAATACTCCAATAAAGAAAATAGATACATCTTAGCCATAATATGCTATGATAGTAAGAATGAACTAATTATTTGGATTTGGTTCTGAAATAACAATTTGGAATTTAGATAATTATCATTTAATTAAGAAAATAACATATCCTGATAAAAAGTTAAATCCATGGTGCGTATGTTCATTTGAATAGTCTTTAATATTAGGTTGTGAAGATGGAAGTATTATTGTTTTTAGATTGTAGATATAATGATTGTAAATGAATAGTTTAATAAATGGGATAAGATTATGAAAATGAGAGCAAAGACAATGAAGATGAATGTGTTAAAAGATAAATGTGTAATTGCAGCATTAGATTGTAGTTTTAGTATCCTTTAAATAAAAAAGTGATATAATAAATATATATGTATATCAAATATCTTATTTACTTTTGAAGTTTAATAATATATTATTATCTAAAACATCTTATTTAATATAATAATATCTAATCTTAAAAGGAATTATAAATTAAATATTTACAATATTAAAGTACCTAAAAAGAAAGTTATATATTTTTAGTTAAAGAATATTGTGATAATAGAATTGTTTGTCCTTTTAGAAGTGAATAATTTAATATACCTCTTTATTATGAATTAATTAAAAATTTCTTTTTATTCTTATATAAATTGATCTGCCATATATTTTAAATATAAATTAAAGAAGAAGAAACTAAGGTATATTGATTTTACTAGGTATGTAAATTATTTTAATTGCTTATATCAATTTGTTTCTTATAGAAATCCTGCATCTCTTTTAGGGAATGCATTACATGAATCAACATGAATTTCGCTAGAGTTTATTAAAACAAAATATGTTACAATCCTGTTCTGCAACTCCAAACATCATGTAGTTTTTCATCCTATAAACACCAATGTCTTTAACAACATTATGATTTATGTAATCCTGCACAAACATGTCCATCTGCTCTTCTACAATCTTTGTGGCAATCATTATTTTCAATAGATGATCTTACCCATTTTTTATCGTTACTAGTAATGGGAGGAGCCATTGTGGCAGAAACAATTGTCACAATCAATAGAACCAATAATAATCTCATTTCCGTTTTTATGTAATTTAATTATAATATATAAATATTAAAAACTTAGATGAGTTTACAAAACATTATAGCATAATGAATTCTCTAAATAAAATGAGTTAATAATCAATTTTACCATTTTGTCTATTTTTGCCATAATCATTTAAATTATTTTATTTAAACATACAGATTAATGAATCACTAATTTCCCATTAAAGAAACTTGAAAATAACTAATCTTAAATTTTTGTACAGATACTTTATTAATTATATCATACAATAATAATAATTTGATACATTAAATCTCAAAATTAGCAGTAGAAACTCTGATCAAGAGAAAATACTTAAAATATAAAGAAGCTTAATAAATTATAAAGCCATATTCTATATATTACTTCTATTTAATAAATAATTAAACATAAAATAACTATTATGAATATCAAAACTCCAGAAACAATCAAAGCTACTTAATCAAATTGTTCTAATTCCACAATTTTTTAATTTACAGTTGAGAAAATAGATTTCAGCAATCCAAAACAACTGTTATTATTTAAGTCACAATTAGCTCATTTAATTATTAAAAAATGAAGTATGATAGCCTTGTTTTATTCTAGACTCTTGCCATATCCATTTCCAATTTTGATCTGATGAAATTATGATTGTCAGATAACATATTATATTTAATACAATCAACTATTTTCTTCTTAATTTTGCTGTTGTTTTAAATTTTCTATTGAATATATAATTGTTGAATATATAACAACAATTCACTATCAAATAAAATTAACAGAAATTCTCAAGATTTGAATAAGTAATTTAAATATACATCAAATATTTAGTATAGAAGATAAATTACTTATTTATAGAGAAGATTCTATAAATTATTAACAATTCATGTGTAAATATTAATAATTAGTATAACTATAAATAGGTTGTGGCTTAAATTGAAATGTTCAAATAAAATTCATATATTGATTGAAATAAATTTATGATTATTGTTACATAATTATTAATTTTGTGTTCTTATTATATTATTATTTTATTATAAAGTTATTAAAACAATAATTTAATAAATACACTTATAATTAATATTTAATTCAAAAAATTCAATGAGTGCTTTGAAAGCAATCGTTACTTTAGACACAGGTGATAAACCTGAATACATTCATATTTATGAAGGAGATGATATTGAGATGCTTGCAGAATTCTTTTGTGATAGACACAATATTCAAGAGGATGGCAAATAATTTATAATTGATCATATAAAAGATCAACTAAAATTATAAGAAAAGCAAATTAGATAGAAATTTGTACCTTAAACAAATTCATTGAAATAATGTTAATCATAAGCTATTATTTATAAACCTGCATAAGTTAGTAAATAATTTAAGCAATTAATTTAGAAAAAAATGATTATGAAGAATTACATAATACAGTTTGGGCTTAGATTTAAAAGAAACCATCAACTACATAATTACATTAGCGAAATACTAGCAATTTTATAAGTTAAGGTTAAAAATCATAGGGAAATTTATTATTAAAAAAAAATGAATTGAAGAATGCCAAATGTATAACTGATATAGAATAAAATAAAGATTGTAAATAATAACCTAAGAGATCAAGATAAGAATAAATTGATTTTGCTAATAGATTGATATCCTAAAAAAATGTATCAGAAAAAAGATTATAGAAATTAAGAATAGAATCAAATTCACCTATTAGTCATGATTTTAGACCAAAAGTAACAAAAGATAATATCTATAAAAAAGTAAGCAAAAAAATTGATTAAGAAGATTATGAATTAGCATAAATGATAGGAATACCTTAAAGAAAAAAGATTTTTGAGTTTGCATAATAAAAGATAAAATATAAATAGGATCAAGATATTTTGAAGAGAATATTTAATCAACTTGATAATGATAAAGATGGTTAAATATCAACTAATTTTATAAATTTAGATATTGATCATTAAATTTTAGAAAAAATCAAACCAGTTTTATGTCATATGGAAGCTTAACATTTAATATTAGATTTTGATTCATTTTCTAATTTAATGAAATCTTTTTAAATTTTGATTTATTGAAACTATTATTTTAATGTAATAAAAAATTTTCTTAATTATATATTGAAGAAAATATCATAAAATTTTATAATTGTTTGAATTAATTAGATCAAAAATAATAGATAACTTAATATATATATAATTTAATCAATATGTAATTTAAATTTCTATATACCTGTGTATTAAATATTTAATAATCTAATCTTATATTTTTATAATTCTATCTGATTCTTCAAAGTAAAAATTATTAATTAACTCAATATTGATAATATTTTTAATAAATATGGGGAAAAAATAATCAGAAAATAACAAATAATAAAAGAATAATGGATCTAATAGGAAAGATAAATCGAGAGGAAGGCCTCCAAAATAACAAGTTAAAAATTTAAATTGATATTCTTAGATTCAAACTTCCAACTCGATTGATACATAACCTTTCGACATTAATTAAAAGTAATTTTGGTTTACAGTGGATGAAGCAAGAGAAATAGTTAGAATACTAGCAAGTAAATGCCAAATTTTATTTAAATGTCTCAGCGGATAATCTGCAAATAATCTTAAGACTTAATTTTGGTCTTCTAATCAACCATAAATTTCTTTTAATATTTTTAAACAAAAACGATAAGAGTTTGCAGAAAAAGTTACTGTATATTATTTGATAATATCAAATTATTTAGGAGCTATAAACAGAATTATTAAAAAAACTTGAATAATATTTATAAATTAAATTGATTGGGGAAAAGGAGCAGATGAATTATTTTTTTTTTGGAAACAATACTACTCATGATACTACTTTAACAGAAGAAACATAAGATACAATAATATAATTATTAAATCCTATTATTCATGAAGATTTCTTAGGAACATTGAAAGAACTACTAGTATTAACAAGTTAACCAGAGAATTCTATTCTAGACTTAAAATAAATAGATTTATATAATATAAATAAACATAAACATTTAGTAAGTTGGGCATTTGTTATTGCTTGGGGAAAAGAAGTAAGGGATCATTTAACAAGATTATAGTAGAAAATATTTAGTGAGGAAGAAATCCCTTCATAAAAATAAGACACACCTCAAAATTTGATCGAATAATCAGCTAAAATTTAGGAAAATAAAGAAAAAGAAGTTCTTTTAAATATTGATCAATTAATTCAAAACTATCAAGAAAAGTATGAAAACGAAATAAATGATTTAATAGATATATTAAAATAAAGATTCACAAATAAAATGTGATGATTTTATTAGAATTATATCCCATTATAATTTGAAATTTATACTATAAAATTAGTTTTAACAATTTTTATTATATCAAATCCTTTGTTTCAAAAAGAGTATATATTTATCTTTTTGTCTTCATCTAAGATTTCATTTACACAATAACTATTTCCTTCAAGTAATAGTATCTATAAATTATTTGATAATTGATTAGAATAAATAAAAAATCTTCCTATTACCTATCTTCTATATATTATTTAATTATTATGTTGTTTTTTTTTAATAAGTATATTTCTTTTTTTATTTTTCATAAGAAATTTAGGATTTAATCACTTTAGATGAATCTATTTATACAATTCAGTTTGAATGAATTTGATATTCACTTACTAAATTAAATCTAATTGATTAAAACCATATATAGAAAGCCATAAAATAATTCATAAGATGGATAATATATATAATTAATTAAGAAAGAATGATAAATTTAAATTTTACAGTTTTATTTTAATTCAAATACTTTGATAAGAAATGATAATATATAAATTAAAATTTAAAATGATTAAGGTATTAAGATTGATTTAAGATAGAATCAAGTAAAATAAGAATTCTAAAAGAATTCAATTTTTTTCATATATCGAATTAAATTATTTTTACTATTTAATAATAAATGGGGGCTTGTAGTGGAATATGTGGATAAAGCAATGCAGATCATACAATAGTGAATGCTAATCATGTAAATCATTCAGATGTGGAATAATAAATTGATTAAGGTCTAAAAGGATCAGGACATTCAGTTAGATAGTCTCAACAATCTTCAGATGTGAATGTTCCTTAAGTTCATTATGAGAATGATTATTATGAATAACAAAAGAGATCAAATTAGAAGTTTGAAGAAATAAAAACTTAATTACAACATGATTCTTTTCTTGAAAAATGTGAACCTGTCACTCTAGAAACTGGAGCAATATATACTGGATAATGGAAAGATGAATAAAGAAATGGATGGGGAAGGTAAGTTTGGCCAGATTAATCAGTATATGAAGGAGAATGGGTTAATGATAAAGCTTGTGGTAGAGGTAAATTGATACATGCAGATGGAGACATTTACGATGGTGAATGGGCTAATGATAAAGCTAATGGCTTTGGAAGATACTATCATAGCAATGGAGCAACATATTAAGGATAATGGAAAGATGACAAGTAAGAAGGTTTTGGTGAAGAAACTTGGCCAGATGGATCTAAATATAGAGGATAATATATTGATGGTAAAAAACATGGAAAAGGTAGATTAGAATTTATTGATGGTTCATATTATGATGGTGAATTTTAGGCTAATGATATTCATGGAAAAGGTATATATTGATTATAATATATTTAGGATTATATATTTGGGCTGATAAGAGGCAATATAATGGGGATTGGTAGAGGAATAAAATGCATGGATATGGATTAACCAAATGGCCTGATGGTAGATCTTATGAAGGAGAGTAAGTTTTTTTATTTAAATATTATTAGATATAAAGAAGATAAAAAACATGGACATGGAACCTTTATATGGAGTGATGGTAGAAAGTATATAGGTTAATGGGTTGATGGGAAATAATAAGGATAAGGAGTATTCATTAAATCAGATGGAACAAGCAAAAGAGGAGAATGGGCAGATGGCAAGAGAATTAGATGGACTGATATACAAAAAGATAGTTATTGACATTTTAAATTATATATATGATTTATTATTAAACTACTCTTAAATTTTACTATTTTTTAATACTCTCAAATAAGCACCATAAATTCATAATTTTAATTCAGTTAATATTAACTATAAATAATTAAAACAGTATTTTTTTAGTTTTAGAAATAATTATTAATTATAAGTATTGATCTTTTTTAATATTTATATGTATAGATCTAATAAGTATGATTAGAATAACAAAGATTGAAAAATAAATTATAAAACTTAAATTTTAACAGTTGAAATACTATTGTTCTTTTTAATGTATATATATCAAATTTGTGAGAATATTTTATTAATTATCTTAATAAATAGATGAAATTTATATATATTTATTAATTAGTTAAAAAATGGAAAAAATAAGAAAAAATTGATCTATCTTTATTAAATCATTTATTTTATACTATAATTCTATCTTAAATCCATAAATGTTTCTTAATCATGTTATGAATATCAATTATAAAATACATTATGAAATTTCTTTAAAATTTGAGTTTAATAAATAACTCATTATAATAAATGTTATCAAATACATCAAGAGGGCAGTAATAAAATCAATTTTCAAAAACATAAACTCAAACTTTAATACCACTTTCTGAAATCAATCATATAAGAGGAAAACTAAAGGGTGGAAATTAGGCTACAGAAGAACGATAACTGGATAAAATGAGAATGTATAACTTGTTTTCATTTTTAGGAAGGCAAATTCTGAAGAAAGGATGAAACGTTGGCCAACGACTATTGCTGCTTATAAATAAAAGAGAGATCAGCATAGATTTGAAAAATTTGCAGCAGCAGAAGAAGAGAGAAGATAAATTGATATTGTAGAGGAGATTTATTAAAAGGAACAGAAGAAAATTACTTTAGAAAAAGCTAATAAATAAATTTATGAAGATGGTGATAGGGTAAAAGCATTTCATGGGAAAATGCTTTTTTCAGATGTATTATAAGAGAGAGATGAATAAATTGTAATGGAGAAATATAAGAAAGAACTTCTGAAATAATAAGAAGAGATCTATTAATAAATATTAGAAGAATAATTAGATGAATATGATTAAAAGTAAATTGTAAAATAGAAATTGTAATAATAAAAGAAAAAAGAATAAAAGGATATGCTACATAAGTATTATAATATATATTTAGATAACATGAAGAAATGAAAGAGAAACATCTTACAAAATTAAAAGAAGAAAGAATTGAAGGAGAATTAATTAAATAAAAGGTTAAAGATGCTTTAGAAGAAGAATAAAAGATATAAAGATTAAAATAATAAAAGATATTAGAAAATTAGAGATTAGTATAATTGGCAAATGATTAATTAAAAGATTTTAAGGTTCAATAGAAAATAAAAGAGAAAGAAGAAGATGAAAAGATAAGATTACATGCAGAGAAGAAATAAAGAATAGCTGAAATGAGAAAAGTAAGGGAAGACTTAAAATTTCATGAAAAATAAGAATAAAGATAAAAATTGATTGATAGATAAATTTAATAGTTAGAGATATTAAAGAAAGCTTAGGAAGAACATTTGAATAAATAAATTATTGAAGCTTAAGTTAAAGCAGAAGAAGTAGAAAAAATAAAAAAGTAGAAGAGAGAATAAATGTTTAGAGCAATAGATTATAGTAGAAAGATTAAAGATGAAGTAAAAGAAACAGAATCTAAATGTATTTAATATTATTTATTATTAAGCTGTTGATTATCATAAAAAAGAATTTTAAACATATTGGGAAAAAAGAGGAAAAGAATTAGAAGGAATAGAAAGAGCAGAGACTACTGCATAAAGAGAGAGAAGAGTTTAAAATGCAAGATTCTAATAAAATTAGATTGATGAAAAACAAGTAATTATTATAATTATAATCTATAATAGGCTTTAAGAGAAAAAGATTATATTGAATAATTAGATTAATAAGAAGAGAAATAAAGAAAAATAGAGAAAGAGGATGAAATTTTCATGATGTGGGCAAGTTAAAAGATTTAAGAGCATTAGAAAGAAGGAAAGAATATTTTGCCATTAATAAAAGAACTAAAGAATTTAAGCAAAGTCCCATGATTAAATATATTAATAATTATGTTTCTATTAATTTTCTTAATAAAAACAAATTTATAATAATATAGGTTTTAATTATACATACAAATATAGTATATCAAAGTTTAATCTTTTTCTTATTATTAGTAGTATTTTATATTACTTCCTTTTTCATTTTTTTTGATTTACTATCTTATTTATTTTCTATATCATATTAATCTTATTAATTCCTTTCTATAGGCACACAATTTTCTATTTTTTCTAGTGAAATTTATGGTTACTACTCGTCTTTATTATGGCAATTCTCACATTTACATAAATCAGTGCATTTTTAATTTATACTGTAACACTCACAATATTTTTTTTTACATTCTGATTTTTTACAATTACAACCCTTTTTTATTTCCTTTTGTTATTCTTTTTAAGACTTCTATTCTGTCAATATATAAATATTTTTATACCTTAGATGACTTATGGCAACTAACCATTATTAGTTAGAATTGGTGCATATGCTTCTGGGTTTCTAAGGAGAGCTTCTTCTATTGCTTTAGATCTTTCATTTGGATTGTCTATTCTATTTTTGCATTCAGTACAATTACAACTTTAAGAACATACCTAAAATATTGATTTAAAAAAAAAACCCAATTATTTGTAAAGCATTCACAATAGAGTTTTAAGCATTTACTTTTTTTGCAGTTGCATTGAAAAGGAGAGACTTTTTAATATTAAACTAATTGATTAACTTTAGATTAGAGCTCTTTGGATAAAGTATTTTAGTATTAGGAAATATCATAAGGAGGATAGCAAAATGGTGGAAATGATGGTCTATACCAAGGAGGAGGATATGGTTATGGAAATGTATGGATAAACTAGTTATTTTGAGGATATTTGATTTGCTATGGTATTTATTAATAATATGGAGGATAATGATAAAAATGTCTATTATTATCATCTTCTTATTATTCTAAACCATCTCCAGCTGATAGTTTTCTAAATGGATATTTTGGCTTATTTTTATCTATGAGTTCTTGTTCAGGTTAGAGATTGAATGGAGAAATGTTATATGGTGGTTAAAGATAAAACTACTATGGAGTGAATCTTGGTGATATGGTTTGTTAATGTTAAGGCCAATCTTGATCATAATAGTGAAGTTTTTTATCAGGTTTTTGTTCATTGGAATTGTGATCATCTTAATTCATAATAAATTAATTAAAAATTAATAATGGCAGCAATCAACAAAGAATAGGTTGACATGGATAATCCAGCATTTGCCTAATAAGATCCACATCTTAAAATAAATGATGAAGAAGAAATGAGTTTACCACCTTAATTTAGAAATCGTTACCCAAGAAGACCACCACTTTTTGATGGTTTATTGAATAATGTTAGGGCTGTTACAAAAAAAGTAGAACATATCAAAGGATTTAAATTTGAAGTAGCAGGAGGATTATCAAATAATTTTCATTTAGCTCATTCTTGGATGATTCCTCCATCAGTATATTTAATAATTTCTATAAATTTAGAATAAAGGCAAAGCACCTAATCCTAATCCTATGAAACAACCTCCAGTCCCTAGCTACACTTTAGCTGCCCAATATTTAGGAGGAGAATTAAGAACTCCATTTGATTAACCTTCCTATATTATGACTGGAAGATGGGACTCTACAGGTAAATTAGAAGCTGCCATAATAAAGAAATTGAATGAAATGTTTAATTTTAGGTATATATATATAATTCTAACATTAAAATAGATTCAGTGCCTTTTATTTGGATTCTAGTCCTAATAATGCATAAGTCCATTTTGATTGTGACATTTCAGGAGATGATTATGTTCACTCTATTAAACTGGGTACAGGATTGTACAGTTTTAATATGATGTAAACAATTGGAAAGAGAGTAGTATTGGGATATGAAATGATGACATTAGTATAAAATTATATATATATTAGACTGAAAGAAATATGTCATTAATGAGTTATGCCTTTAAATTTGGAATAAGTTAAAAGTAGAATTTCTATGCCTAATATGTAGGAGCTGCTGATTAATTAATTTTAGCTTATAACCATAGAGTATGATATTTTAATTAAATTTAGCTCTTGGACAAAGCTTACTTTATGTCTGAACTTGAATATTCAAATTAATCAGGGGAATCTAGAACTATTCTTGTAATAGAATTTATTAAATCATTTTAAGGGTTACAGATAAAAGTTTGCCACATCTGAAGTCATAATCACTGTAAATTCAAAAATGAAGTTTAGTTCTGCATTAACTTTGTAAGGATTTGCCTATCAATTAAAATTATGTGCAATTGCAGATTATAATAAGGATTCATATAAGTTTGGTTATGGTATTGCAATGGGTTAAGTTTGATAACTAGTATATTAAAAAAATATATATTTTCAAGTTTTAGCTATACTGTTTATTTAATAAGTTGTTAAATTATTTTCATAGATTTAATAATTCTATCTTTAATACATTTTATAAAGAAGATAAATTTAATCAATTAATTTTATTTAATAAAAAATAATTCATTTATATATTCAATTTAATACAGTTTAATTTAGTATGTATTTTTATTAAAATTTATTGCAATATATAAATACCAAAATAATTAGATTGCTAATATTATTAATAAATATAAATAATGGTAAGATTATCTTAATCAAACCATAGCTTTGTTGTGTTTACATTGTTTGCTTTACTAATCTCTTCCTGTAATGCAATCAATCATTTGAGAGGACACATTGAGGGTATTTTTATATTAAAAACAATTAGAGCATTAAAATAAGCATTTATATTCAAGCCATTCTAAAGGGAACCCTATCACAGCTGTAATTATTGGATTCTTATGTGTTTTTGGTGCATTTGCTATGTTATGGTACAATGAGAGAAGGTTTATATTTATCACATAACAATAATAGATAAGCTATTACTGAATATAGATTAGAACAAGCAAAGAAATAATGTACATCAGTCAATTCAGCTGAAGTAAATCCTAATACTAATCATTAATTGGTTCACACAAATGGTATAACTTAAACTTTAACAATATATTAGGTGAAAGTAAAACTCAAGATCTTGTAGTTGACGCTGCTTTTGGATTGTCAATGAAAGACTGTATTAAACTAGTAAGAACAGTTGAAATGTATTAATGGGTACGAAAATCAAGAGAAGAAAATAAAAGAACTGTTTATTATTATGTTTAAGAATGGAGTTCAACTTTCCATTCAGATTGTGGAGATGGACATTATAATGATAAATCTAAATGGATTGTAGAATAAGAGACATAAGTTAATTTGAATGTTCGCATTGGTGCTTATTTAATAAGTAAGTCATTGGCAGAATAAACAAATGCTAATGAAAGTATTCCTATGGCTATGAATAATGCATAAGCTGTTTCAAATTTCTATGGATATTCAAAAGGATTTTAGAATTTGTATCAATTTTATTCTTATTTATAGTGAAGCAAATGGACAATACATATATTTCTAATAAAATAGAGGAACTGTTACCATGAATGATTTGAGAGTCTCTTTTGATGCTGCAAGAACTGGTCCTACAACAGTTGTTTCTCAATAATATAATGATACTTTCACACCATTTGTTATTCATGATAAATTTGAATAGACTTTAGCTAGAGATGAAAATTTGGAAGATATGGAATTATCATGTGCTACTTGCTGTTGTATTTGCTGTAAACTCTGTCGAGCACTTGAAAAGCCTCTCACTTAAATAGATTGGATTTTTGAATCAATCATGACGTAAAATCAAGTATTTAAAAAAAAAGCTGAAGAAAATGCATGTATTACATTGGCATAAAGAATTGGTGGATATGTATTGATGGTAATTAATTGATGTATTTTTTAGGGAATTGGATTTTGTTTGATATTCTCCCCAATCTCTTGGTTGGTTTCATTGATCCCATTGCTTGGAAACTTCTTAGCTTCTATTACAGGATTTGTTTTCTTTTTAGTAAGTTTTATAATATCAATTCCATTTTCACTATTAACTATAGCTTTTGCTTGGTTATTTTATCATCCAAAATATGGAATTGCATTAATTGCACTTTCTGGTTTAATAGGAGCAGGAATCTACTTTTACATCAAAAGTTAGAGTTGAAATATCATCAAAAAATAATATTATAATCAAAAATTTTCTATATAATTTTATTTTTAAAAATATTAAAATGAATCATCACATTTAAGGTTAATTAGATTCTAAGAATTTTTTAATTCTATCAATATATACAGCATAATGTAATTTACTTTATAAAATCTTAATAATAATTTAAAAATATTATATTTTAGATTTATATTTTAATCAAATAATATATACTACTACAATTAATTAAGTTGTCTATTAATTTAAAAATGAAGAAATTTGAATAATATTTATTTTTTATCCAATAAATTAAATGGATTTAATATTATAATAATTAATAAAATAAAAATAGTTAAATATTATAGTTATTATCATTGTTGTATTTCTTAATTTTCATTTTTCTTGTAAACAATAAATTACTCTAAGTTTGCAAATTAAAGATCAGAAAGATCTTCACTAATATTTGATGTATTTTTTATTAATTATAAATTTGCAAAGTCTGTTATGGATGTTGTCTCATTTTAATTTACACCTTAAGCAGTTAATTAACTTTCACAGATAGAATATGAAAAGTAAGTATTTTTTTTATTTGATAATTTTGTTGGACTGCATGTAAATAAAGATTACATAAGATTTGATTTATCCACTTTTGATGATAAAATATTTTAAGAGGATTTTAAAAGGATACTTCTAGATTTCTAATTATTCCTTTAATATTTGGAAGATAATCTGGGTATATTGTTTGAGATTGCTAAATTAATGTATGTTTCTGTTTCTGGTTCAATGACTCCATTATCAAACCAAGGATGTTTTAAAGCTGCATCAGGTTAAAGTCTTAAAGATGAATCTTTTTATAGCAATTAAGATACAAGATCCTTTGCTTCTTTTGAAATTTATTTAAATAATTCATCTGGAAATGTAATTTAAGCTTCTATAATCTTTTCTATCAAATCATTTAAACTAAAATTATATTATAAATTTACTATTCTGAAATAAATGGTAATTAACCAGATAACATTGAATATAAAATACATCCAGCACTCCACATATCAACCATCTAACTTTTTATTTAAATAAATATAAATATTACTTATAACCTTCTCCTGTAAATATTTCTGGTGCAGAGAATGCAACTGTTCCAGTATAAGTCCACATTTCAATTTTTTCTCTATCTTTTAAATCTCCAAATTCTTTATAAGCATCACTAAATTTACTCACATTAAAATCAGTTACTTTTATCTAATTTTTATCTAATATATATTTAATAATAATACTTTCAACACATAAAATATTATTTGGTTTCAAATCTCTATGACAAATTCCATTTCTATGCATATATTCAATAGCACTTAATAATTATTTGAATAGTTCCTTAGCAAGACTTTCAGAATAATGTCCTAATGTATTAATTACTTCAAACATTTCTTTTCCTTATACTAATTCCATTACAGCATATGCTTAACTTTCAGATTAAAATCCATTATTAAAATCAATATATAATCTATGAACTTTCACAATATTATCATGATTTAATTTTTATAGTGATTTAAATTCAATTATCATCTAAATATAATACTTAAATTACATTTCTAATAATTTCATCATCTTATGTTTATACTATTTTAACTGCATATTCCTCTTTTGTGTGTTTATTTACAATCCTTTTTACTAAACCTAAACAACCTTCTCCAAGAATTTCCATCATCTCATATTCTTAATCAAATTTCTTAATATCAGCACAAATATATAAAGAATCTAAATCACTAATTTCAACATCTAGTTTCTTGCCTAATTCCTTAAGTTCTTCCTATGAATTCTTTTCATAATATGAAGGTTTTTTTATTATTAATTACAGTCTTCCTATGTTTAAATGAAATACTATACCTTTTAGTTATTATTTAATCCTATTTCTATTATTCTCTGCTTAATTTTATTTATCTTCTAATTCACATTTAATAAATTAAAATCTACTACAACCTTTTTTCTCAGTATTAGATAACTATGATGAAAGAAGATTTTATTCTAATAAAGTGGATTCACAAAGTGAGATTGTTGGTAATTTTTCAATCATTATCTGGTAAAATTATTTAATTAATATAAATGACGAATTTATTTCATAAATATTATTAATATCAATGGAAAAAAGATAAGAATTAAGTTTATAATTTATAATAGAATTAGTAGTTTAAGGATAAAATACTATCTTATAAATTAAATAAATATTTAATGAACAAAATTCAAATTCTATATTTTAAACATTTATATTTTATAATTAAATTACATGTAGTCCACTAGATCGAATTCTGCATAATATAGAACCTGCAACTCATAATATGGATAAGGTTGGTTATTACATTAAGGATAATAGTAAATCAAACTGAATGAAGCTCCAGTTCCTACTTATGCTGAAATCGTTAGAAGCATGCAAGTTATTAATCTAATTATGACTTTAGGATTTCAAAAGGGCTGAAAAATTGATAAAAAATAAATTAGTTGCATAACAAATTAGTTTGGAATCTGAAAAGAAAGAAACTGAAGAATAGAAACAAAGAAGAAAAATCGATAATAAAGTACCTCCAAAACCTTTTCCTGTATAAGAAGATTAATATAAAAAACCACCTTTGGGAATCAATGTTGGTATTATGCAGATCGAATTATTTATGTAGGTTTACCTATATATGAAACTTCTAATATGTAATATGGGTAATTGAATCCTACTAAATTTGAATTAATTGAAAAGTATTATCCTAGAGATGCCAAATTTACTTAAGGATTTTTAGGGAGCACTTATAAATTTGATGGTTTAAATACAAGTGTTGCTTTTTCAAAAACTCATAAAGCCTTAGATGAATACTGATTACAATTATAAAATATAAGTTACAATATAATCATATAAATAATGGTTAATTCACTTATAAAGGCAAATCAAAGTAGTCTTAAATTTTATTAGATTTAGTCAAGTATTCATAGAGCTATTTAAATTCTTCTTATATCTCTAAAAATCTATGAGCTTTTTGAGAAATTATTTAATAATTGATAGGTGAATAAATTGTGAGAGGATTATAAGGAGGACATTATTCCAAGGTTATAAATGGATTTTATTAACTAATTTACATTTATTAAATACCCATAATTGTCAATATAAATGCCCTCTTTTAATGGATCGAATTAAGTACCATACTTCTTTAAAAAGTCAAGAAGAATTTATTTTTTATCATTTTGAGTGTAATGTTTACACATATAGATTGCAGCTAACATTATTGATAAACAAAAAGAACTTATCCCACCTATTAAAAATAAATATAACATTAATTACCTGTATGAGCATCATTTAAATTTTTTGATTTAACTAAATGTTTTAGAATTAACATAATATCTCTATACCAAACAAATCTACTAACCCAATCTTTAACAATTGTTGTCGAGGCAAATCCCAAATGAGGATTATTATATATATTACTCCATTAATAAATCCAAGTTATATCTACCTAAATGATTTTTCCTAATAGTTTTATAATTTTAATATTACCTTGATCATTTTGATCTAAATGAAAATATGACCAGTTCTATTGAATTTGGTAATCCTCATCATAAAAATTAGATTTCGGATTCAATTCTAATTTCAATATTGGCATATGACCTTGAATCAATCTAAAAAAACATTTAATTAAATTTATTACTTTGATTTAATTAAAAAGGGTGTCTACTTTAATGTATTATTTAAAAGTTATAAGAAACTTACTATTTAACTATAGTTTAAGTTCTATGAACCCCAAATACCTACATCTACATCACTTATTTCTAAATCTAATCCAGTTTCAAAGGAACCATAAGGATATATATTTAGATTATAGTTAGTATAAATAAGATAATTAAGTCTATTCAAACAAACTTATTTTCTGACTCTATTTTGATAACTTTTTTATTGAATAATATTCAATAATTCATCAATATCATAAGTTTTAGATTTAACTAAATTTAATTATTTTCTTTTAATTGGTGTTGTTTATGTAGAATGAGGATATTATTTATCACCTACTTTTTCTCCATTATTATTATAGTGTTTTTTCTTTTGTTTATCTCTGCTTGATAATTTTTAAGCACATAATTTATTTTCGTCTTACTATTATAGACAATCATCAGATTCTGATTATGAATTTCCAGCAGTTGTGCTTCTTGCTCCAATCTAATATATTATTACATAGATTACATGACTAAATTAAGCATCAAAGTCAGTAGAATCTTTTTTATTTTCCTATTCATTATTTTCTATTTAAGTTAGACTAACTTACTTCCTTGATTTCTACTATGATATTTATTATTTTATTTTATGAGACTCTTGAGGAGAAAGTTAATTATATTGTTTTTCTTTAGATTGTTATTGAATTTCAGGTTATTGTGGTTATTATTTATCTGTGAGTGTTTAATTTTTTAGTATTCTTAACTAGGAATCTATTTTATTCTTCCTGTTCTTTGCCTTTTTGTGGCATTTTTATTTTTAAGTTGGAAATTGTTAAGCTGTTGGAGGTAATTAAAACAAGTCAATATCCTCTTAATCACAAATTTATAAAACATTACTATGTTCAGAATTTTATTCTTTCTAAGTCTGTTATTAACAATTAAATTAAAGTTCTTCATTAACAACACTCAAAGATAAACATATTATGTTTTTTATACAAGTATTAACATCAAATTCTTCACTCTTTTTTTTTGATATTGTTTTACTCTAATAATTTATACTAAAATTGATACATTCCCTTAATTAGTTCCTTCAGAATCTTTTCTCAATTCAGGTTAAGATTTATCTTTTTAATTATCTATTTAAGTGTTTTTAGAGCGAAATTATTTTGTTCCTTTTATCGTCTCATTATACTTACATTCATTGATTTGGTTAGATGTAGTTAAAATTTGCATTACAATAAATGATTTTTTTATTTATTATATTCGCAATTAGTTTAATAATTATTTCTAATGCATTCAATGAATCTTTTCTGCTTAAGGTTTTTCATTATAAAATAATTGAAATGAATTAAATTTATAGTTGTAATATCTCATCTATACATTAAATATAGATTAAATGATTTATGAATTTATGAATTTTAATTTATTTATTATATAATAATATCTTATATTTATTAATGATTTATTTATTTTTAGTAAACTTAATGATCAAAATTCCTTATTTTGAATTCATAAAATTAATAAATGATCATTTATGATAATATCATTTAGAAGGTTTAAATTATTTTAATATACTTATTAAATAAATTTGAGATATAACAAACAAAAGTGAATTTTGGTAATAATATCATGATATTTTATAAAAATTATTCCAAAACTATACTAAGAATTTGTAAAATAGTTAAGATTCTAATTTATATACCTTTTCTTAATTAATTTTTATTACTAAAAATATATAAAGATTATAATTTAAAATGCTTTAATAATAGAATCATACCTATTCTATCTAACCTTTTATTTAAATTTATTTACTATTTACAAATGCTATGTGATTTTTAAAGGCAAAATTATCGCAGTTTATTTTTTATATTATCTAATAATATAATAAGTATTGCAAATTGACATTAAGAAGAGTTTGAATAGATTGATTTTAAATAAAAATTTATATTAATTTCAATTGGATTACATAATTGTCATAAATTTCATTTATTATAATAATAAAATAAATAAATTATCAAAAAATGTTCAGATTATTTGATTCAAGTTATCAATAAATGAATCAAATTATTGAAGAAGGTGGGAATGTACTATGGCTTGGTGATTTTACTGCAGCATTAGATAGGCCTTTGCTTGATTCGAAAGGCATTTAGACAGTGTTAACTGTTGCAACTGGCTTAGATGTAGCCTACAGAGAACCAGGTATAACTCATAAAGTACAAATTCTAAATAATGAAAGGTATATCATATCCTAGATTCAGAAACTGCAAATATTGGAAGATTGTTTTAAGACACAAACACTTAAATAATTGAAGGTTTAAAAAGAGGATCAGTTTTAGTACATTGTGCTGCAGGAGTATCAAGGTCTGCTTCAGTAGTGATAGCATATTTAATGAAAACAAAAGGATTTGGTTTTTAAGAAGCATTTAACTTTGTAAAAAAGAAGAGAAGTGTCATTTAACCTAATTATGGATTTATTAAATAATTAAGAAATTATGAAAAGGAAGTAAAGATAGTAAAAAAAGAAGCTCTTTAACTAAAAATAAGTGAAAATCCATAAGATGCAAAAGGTTGGTAATTGATGAAGACTTAAGAGAAAAAGACATCTGATTTAAACATCATAGGTCAATAAGCTGTTCAATAACGATAACCAAGTTAATTAACTTAACCAAAAATAACTACTTCAAATTCTACAAGAGCTAATTCTACAATAAATTCGAAAAAATACTTTGAACCATAAAAGACTTACTAAGGACCTTAGATTGTAACCTATGCAAAAAATAATAAATTAGTTATCAAAAATCATTTTGCAATGCCTGAGATAAAATAAAAAAAAAACAAGTGAAAATCATACTTATTTATTTCATTTAATCAAATTTTATAACATTAAGTCATTTCTTCATTATTATCAAAAGGATCATTTAATGTTGATAATCTTTTTACATAACCAAAAGTTGTGTTTCCAAATAAAAAAGATTTTGCTGTTTGATGTTATGGAGTAGAATAAAAAGTACTTAAGGATGATACTTTTGAACATTATTTTTTAATTAATCTATCTTTGGCTTATTAAAGTTTTAATTGTTAACTATATTTTTCTATATCTTACAATAATTTTGAATCAATTATTTTCCATGTAGGTGATTTAAACTATTTTTCAATAAAGAAATTTTTATTTAACTCATAAAATATTTTGATTTAAGATGTTAATCTAATAAATTCAGGAATAAGGCCATTTAATTAAAAGAAAAGTGATATTTAGATTAGTTAATACTCTACAAGAAATTAAAATATGATTCTAAAATTATTCAAATTATTACTTTTCTATAAATAAATATGTTGCTATCACATCATTCCAAATTAATAGTAAAATCTCACCAACTATTAATTCTTAGACTGTCTCATATATTTATTTAATAAACTAAAAACATATCTGATAATGATACCTAAGAATAACTAAATATATGGTTTAATAAATTAATCGCCTTGTAATAATAGATGCAATCATTAGTTAATGCTTTAAATAGATCATATTAATACTTGAAGAATTTATTTACTATAATTTTGCAATCCTAAGTAAATCAAATCCATTAGCAAATCTTTGTAGCATTTCATAATACATTTAGACAAATTTCTCTTTATCTTAATTTTTCTCTCTAAATCCTATTTTGCTTATATAAGTTTACTTAATCTGAAATCCATTCCAAATTAGAAAGGATTCAGAAAATTGCTAACCATGTATGCCATCTTCTAATAGGACATGGCAAGTTGCCAAAACTTTTAATTTTACACAAAAGGAAGCCTTTTCCGGTAAGGCCTAAAAAAATGTTTAAAAAGTCTTCTTTATTGGTTAAGGTGTTCGACACATTAATTGAGGTTGTTAAGGGAACCCTTACATCAGTTATTTCAAGTCTACAATACTCAATGATGGTTTATTATTCAAAATTGAAGTATTTGATAAGGCTCTCTCAAATTCAGTTTATTATTTAAAAAACATATTGAACATTGTAATTATTTATGTAATTTTTTTCTATTATTCTTTTCTTTTTATAAAATATGGTAGTTTTAGAAATATCTAATAGAAACTATATATGATTTATATATTAGAGTTACTTATCATAATAATGATGCTTCTCTTTTCTATTTACAATTTATCAAGTTTTGATTGTAATTATATTCTTAAAATTAACTTGATATTCAATATAATAATTCAAATTAAATGGATAGAAAGAAGTTATTATTTGAAAGCAATTTGAAAAATAATTCCTAAGATTTAATTGTGGGGGATAGAGAAACCAAAGCAAGAATAAATGAAATACGTTCTAGGGGTGATTCGATAAGAAGAGGAAGTTCAAAGTATTTGATTTATATATCAATTAGATAGCCATATCATATTAATAATAAATCATATGATATTTCAACCAAAACAAGTGGAAGCTTTATAATTACAAAGGACAATGAAGTATCTTATTTAAAAAAGAAAATTGATGAATTGCAATTTAGAATAGATTCTTAAGAGGCAAAATTAAAAGCAAGAGACAAGGAGATCGCCTATTAATAATCTCAAATCAAATAATTTGTTCTAGAGATGAATGAAGTTTAGATTATTGAAGATAATTATAAAGAAGAAATATCAGTTTTGAATAAAGAATTATCATAATGGAAAGAAAAATACTTTGCTAATCTCAAGGAATATCAATTTCGTTAAGCCCAATTATCTCGATAGTCTCAATAAGAGTAAGCTATGATGAGAAAGAAATACGAAGAAATAATTGAATAATAATAAAGAGAAATAGAATCAATTGAAATTAGATTTGAAAATGAGAGAGATAACCTATATAAAGCACTTGATTTACAAAATACTACCATGTAGAGAAACGATGAAATGAAAGTATACAGAGAATATATTTTAAGGAATTGATGATAAAATTAGAAGAAAGAGATGCTGAAACTCATTAATTATAAGAAAGAATCCAAGTATTGGAGAAAAATAAAGAAGAATTAAAATTACATCATTAATAATAGACTTCTAAATTGAATGAACAAATCAAAAAATGTAATTATGTATGAATATTATTAAATAAATTAGATTGAACAAGAAGTTAACAGTTTACAATAACAATTATAAGGAAAAGATAAATAAATAAATACATTATAAATTTAAATTGGAGAATAAAAAAAAAAGACAAATTAACAAGATTAGGAAAAATTACAGCACTTAGAAAATCTTAATAATTAACTTGTATAATAGATAAGTTTATTAGAAGATTAAGTTGCAAAATTCAATTAATAAGCAAAAGATGTTTAGAAGATACAATCATTAGAAAAAGAAAATGAAAATCTATAAATGATTATCTATGAACAAAAAATATAGAATCATGATTTAAAATAATAATTAACACTATTTTAATAAGAAATTAATTAGTTAAAAGAGTAAAATTAAAATATTACAAAAACAACCTAACTTGAATAAGAAATCAAAGATTATAAAAGGTTATTAAGTGAATTAAAAGAATAAAATGGAAAACTTTTAAATTAGTAAGTGGATATTGAAGAAATTAATGAAGAACTTATAATCTTGAGGAAGAATAATCAAGAATTAAAACAATAGCACGCTGAAGACTTCAAAATTATAGAAACAAAATGTTAGAAAATTAAATAACTAGAGTAAGAAGTAAATTAATTGAGATAAGAGAATTTGATATTTTCAAGTTAGAAATCACAGTGTGAAGAATTGGAATAAAAAATATAAGAACTTAATAATTAAATAGAAAAATTGCATTTTACTAATAAAGAAAAAGATGATTTAATTTTATAAAAGCAAAACCTACTACAGTAGTAAAATCTAAATTCAAAAGATTTTGAAAAATTAATAACTTAATAAAAAGCCGAAAACAAAGAACATTTAATTTAAAATAAGCAATTAACAAATCAAGTAGTTTTATTATAAAAAGAAAATGAAGAATTTTAGTAGGAACTCTTAAAATATCAAACAGAAATTGATGAATTAACTAGGATACATGAAGAGAATTTAATAAAAATAAATTCTTTAGAAAACGAGTAATAATAATTAAAAAATACTTTTGATCATCATTAAAAAGAAATTTAAAAAAAAGATGCTGAAAAGTTATCAAACTTTGCATAATTAGAAAATGAAAATGCAAAACTTTATTAATAGAGAAACAAATTATAAGATAAGATAGGAGAATTAGAAGATACAGCTAATTCAAAATTGAAAGAAATAAATTAAATGAAAGAGCAAAATTAAGAGCTTTTTAATCAACTTAAATCTTAATAATAAGAATTAGAAACCTTAAATTGGCAGCTTTAGAATTTAAATTCCTAATCTTAGGACTATTAAAATAATTTAATTGAAAAAGAGGAGCTTCTTATTTAATTATAATCCAAGAATAATAAATTAATTGATCAAAATGAAGAATTGTAAATCAGTATTAAACAGCTTAATAATACGTATGAATCTCAAATTATAAAATAAAATGAGAGAATCTAAGAGCTAGAATAGAATTTAGAAGCTTTAAATGAAAGAAATGATCAAGAAGCTTTAATAAATGAAAATTTATTATTATAACTAAAAAATTAAGAATTAGAAAACTAAATTCATTCTATAATTAATGATTATGCTAAAAATTAAGACAAATTGGAAAAATAACTCTTATATTAAGAACATAATAAAGAAGAGTTAAAATTAAAGTTAGATGAATGGTAAACTCAAAATGATGAACTTTAAATAAGACTTGAGTTATAGGATAAAGATATTGAGAGATTATAATAAATAAAATTTGAGTAGTAAGATGAATTAAACAAGTAAATAGAAGCTGTATCTAGTATTAAATAATCGACAACTATATAATTAAATGAATATTAAAGACATATTGAAAAAATAAATCTATTAATTGTTGAAAAAGATGAATAAATAATGTTTCTATAATAATAAGCACTCGAAAATGGTTTGATAAAACAGGAAACTGAGTAACTTAAATTAGAAGTAAGTAAATAGATGGAACTAATAAATTAATTGGAATAAAAAAACGAAAATTACGAAGCATAATTATAATAAAAAATTTTAGAAATTAAATAACTTAATTTATAATAATAATTAATTGAATTAAATTAAAAAAAAGAAATTGAAGATATAAAAAATAAAGAATTTGAAGCCATTAAATTATAGGAAAAATACAAGATTGAACTATTAAAATATTAGTAAGTTATAAATAATGATAATGATTAATAAGGAAGTTTCTAAAATGAAAATACAGAAAATAATGTTTTAAAGATAGATTCATAGAGAGTGGATCAAATAAAGGAAGATTAATTTAGCTTTAATAAATTCGAAGATAACTTGTAAAATTAAGAAAATGATGAGGAAGAAGAATTAAAATATAAAAAGGCTGAGGAAGTAAAACAATCTCAAATAGAAAAAGATGAAGAAAACTTTGAACTTAGAAATGAATAAAAAGATGAAGATATCAATTAAGAATAATAAAATGTTAAGAAAGTAAATGATTAAGTAGAATTAAAGGAACCTGAAGTCAATGTTGTTTAGATTGTTGAATAACCTTAAATAGAATTAGATAAAGAATTGAAAGATGAAGAAAACTTAGAACTTAGAAATGAATAAAGAGATGAAGATAATAATTAAGAATAATAAAATGTTGAGAAAGTAAATGATTAAGTAGAATTAAAGGAACCTGAAGTCAATGTTGTTTAGATTGTTGAATAACCTTAAATAGAATTAGATAAAGAACTGAAAGATGAAGAAAACTTAGAACTTAGAAATGAATAAAGAGATGAAGATAATAATTAAGAATAATAAAATGTTGAGAAAGTAAATGATTAAGTAGAATTAAAGGAACCTGAAGTCAATGTTGTTTAGATTGTTGAATAACCTTAAATAGAATTAGATAAAGAACTGAAAGATGAAGAAAACTTAGAACTTAGAAATGAATAAAGAGATGAAGATAATAATTAAGAATAATAAAATGTTGAGAAAGTAAATGATTAAGTAGAATTAAAGGAACCTGAAGTCAATGTTGTTTAGATTGTTGAATAACCTTAAATAGAATTAGATAAAGAACTGAAAGATGAAGAAAACTTAGAACTTAGAAATGAATAAAGAGATGAAGATAATAATTAAGAATAATAAAATGTTGAGAAAGTAAATGATTAAGTAGAATTAAAGGAACCTGAAGTCAATGTTGTTTAGATTGTTGAATAACCTTAAATAGAATTAGATAAAGAACTGAAAGATGAAGAAAACTTAGAACTTAGAAATGAATAAAGAGATGAAGATAATAATTAAGAATAATAAAATTTTGAGAAAGTAAATGATTAAGTAGAATTGAAGGAACCTGAAGTCAATGTTGTTTAGATTGTTGAATAACCTTAAATAGAATTAGATAAAGAACTGAAAGATGAAGAAAACTTAGAACTTAGAAATGAATAAAGAGATGAAGATATCCATGAAGAATTAGATGATTTAATACAAGTTACAAATATCAATAAAATAGAATAATAAAATGTTAAGAAAGTAAATGATTAAGTAGAATTAAAGGAACCTGAAGTCAATGTTGTTTAGATTGTTGAATAACCTTAAATAGAATTAGATAAAGAACTGAAAGATGAAGAAAACTTAGAACTTAGAAATTAATAAAGAGATGAAGATAATAATTAAGAATAATAAAATGTTGAGAAAGTAAATGATTAAGTAGAATTGAAGGAACCTGAAGTCAATGTTGTTTAGATTGTTGAATAACCCTAAATAGAATTAGATAAAGAACTGAAAGATGAAGAAAACTTAGAACTCAGAAATTAATAAAGAGATGAAGATATCCATGAAGAATTAGATGATTTAATACAAGTTACAAATATCAATAAAATAGAATAATAAAATGTTAAGAAAGTAAATGATTAAGTAGAATTGAAGGAACCTAAAGTCAATGTTGTTTAGATTGTTGAATAACCTTAAATAGAATTAGATAAAGAACTGAAAGATGAAGAAAACTTAGAACTCAGAAATTAATAAAGAGATGAAGATATCCATGAAGAATTAGATGATTTAATACAAGTTACAAATATCAATAAAATAGAATAATAAAATGTTAAGAAAGTAAATGATTAAGTAGAATTAAAGGAACCTGAAGTCAATGTTGTTTAGATTGTTGAATAACCTTAAATAGAATTAGATAAAGAACTGAAAGATGAAGACAACTTTGAACTTAGAAAAGAATAAAGAGATGAAGATAATAATTAAGAATTAGATGAATAAATAAAAGTTACAAATATCAATAAAAAATATGACTAAAAAGTTAAAATATAGGATTTTACCAATTCACAGAGAAGAGAAGTTAGTATTATTTAATAAACTCAACTTGAATTAAATTTATAATCCAATTATTAATCTCCTGATCAATAATTATCATATTAACTTAAATTAGAAAATTATAATTAATAAATAGATACTTATCAATAATTTGAATTTTCACAGGATGATCAACCTATAGCTAACGAACATAAAGATATTGACATATAACGTTCTAATCAATAGTTAGAAATTAAAGAAAATGCAGATTCTATCTAACAATTTGAAGAATAAATTCAAATAGAAATAGATTAGAAACTTTAAGATTTTGCTGGTTAATACTTAGAAGATGATTAAGACCTAAGAAGCAACAAAAAATTAGAATGACTTATAAACTAAGACCATATAAACTGCAGTAAGTTAGTATTAAATAATTTGTCTTTCAATCTTATTCTTCATCTAATTTTAAAGGAGAGAGTGATTTACAATTTTATTCGGACTCACTTAGGGAAGTTGTTTACTTAAATGAGAAACGTAATGAAACTTTCCTACTTTTTCTTTTTTTCAACTTTTCTTTAAGCTTTTAGTTAGCCTTTAAAAATCTTCTTTGTTGTAAATGTTCTTCAAAGGTTTTGGGAACTTTGATTTTTTCTTATAATGCATCTAAATTTTTTAATTAGATTTCAGTCATTAACTCATCTAGTTCTTATTAAATGGCTTAAATAGTTTAATCTTTCAATTAGATTTACTTTTCAAGTTAAGAAATCTTTTTTCTAAACTATTATCTATCCATCAATGACATCAAGGCTTCAGTTTCTCTTTCTTGATCATCATCTTCATTCTCCTCCTAAATGATTTACTCTAATTAGAATTTTTGATTTGACACTGATACTACTAATATTTAATAAATTTACTTTCTTGTGGGCTTTTAGAGCTTGAAACAGAATTCATATGCTTTAGTTATATTGTCTAAGTAGAAGTTTATTAATTTCTTTTAAAATGCTTTTCACCATGAGCTTCAATAAATTATATAGCTTCTTCATAGGCAGACTTAATCATTTATTTTCTTTTTTGAGCTTCTTTAATCATTTTTGCTCCTTCATCTCTAAATTAATTTAAATATATGAGTTTAAAATGTTTTTTTGAAATTACATAAAATTCACATTTCTTTGTTGTCATTATTGTGTATTTTCTTTTTTCTCCATAAAACAGAATATCAATTTCACCAAAGTAAGATCCAGGTTTGATCATTAAGAATTTGAAATTATCATTTTCTGGTATAACCAATGCTAATTTTCCACTTTTTACAAAATAAACTTCTTCTGCATTATCTCCAGTCATAAATAAATATTCATGAGCTCCTACTTTTAATGGAGTTAAAACTGGTCCTATAGCAGCTATAAAAGTAGGTGCTTTGTCTCGAAAATATTAAATTTCTTCTTGTAATTATTTATTCATTATGAATGCTAATTCAACTCTTAATTATGGAGGTAAATCTTCCAAAAGAGTATTATAGTTTAGTAATAGATTTTTCTTACCTGATTTCAATTCTTTTTTCACTTTTTAAAAGATGGCATTGGAAATATGAAATTCTTTTTTGATATTTTTTAAAGTGGATAGCCTATGGACATAAATAGAATTTGCATGATCCAATCTATCTAAAAATGAAGCTAAGGAGCCGACAGCAAATGAAAAAATATAAACAGAAACTAACATCCAAAATATTGCAAATAGAAAAGAGGGCCATTTATATACTTTGACATCACCATATCCAACTGTTAATATAGTTTACACTGCCCAATATAAAGAAACAATGTATTGATCATATCCTGAGATGAAATTATATTCCCAATCAGGATCCTCTGACAAAGATGCAATGAAAAACCAAATACATCCAGTAACATGGCAACTGAATATCAATAATACGAATGCATAAAGAAATCTTTCACTACCTATATTGATGTTAATCACCTTTATATACTCTACATCCTTTAATTGAATCATTCGAAATATTTTAACCATTTTGATAACTCTATATATTTTAGGTAGTTTTGATAATCTGGCAATGTTGCTCGATTTATCATAATCTTGGAATAAGAATTAGAATGGAAAACAAGACTAAGAATATTCTCTCATAAATTTACTATTAAGTCTACTGTAAACCATCCTTTTAAATAATTGATGGCAATTAATTTAGGATCTTTGATTAGATTATTCTCTTCATCATAATAAGAGCATAGAAATGTGAATATGATGTCTGCCATAAATAAAAAGTCAACAGAATTATCGAAACCGTCCCAACCAGGGAATTCTTCATCATCAATGAATGCCATCTTATATGGTGTAAATATACAAACATATCTAATAAATCGTATAATGATACATTAATACTATAAAAATGACTGCATCCCAAGTTTATTTTAATCGACTTTATTAAGTTATGATCAGTGAGAATTTAAGAGATTATGGTGGTTCAAGATCCTTCAGACGAGATAATCTTTTAATCTTTGAGGGTCTTTGCTCACTTACAATATTTCTATCATCCTCTTCTCCACTCCCGTCTTTAGACCCTTGTTTAGATCCTAGAACTTTTTAAAAGCATTCATTAGAATCTTATTGAATTAAAGGGACACTTGCTTATGATACCCGTTTTGTTTCTATGGGATGCGAATAATGAATAGATGGTTCATCTTATTATTAAAGATTTATAGATTAGCTTCTTTTTCTAAACAATCATTTATCTTCATTACTTACTGAGCTATTGCTTGGCAAAGATTGATTTTTCTGCCAAATTCCTTAAAGACATATTGTTTTTTTGCATCATAGACTTTTTATCAATAGGAGAACCAAGTGGTCTTTGCATTAAAATTAATATACAATATATTATTATATTCAAAAATGGGAAATTAATAATGACAAACCAACAGAGTCATAATCATAATGGTAACAAAATCAAAAATATTATCTATAAAAAAACTTAACAAATTAAGGATGATTGTTATACTTATACTTTACAAAATCAAAATCTGAATCCTTATTCTAAAAATTTATCATTATTAATAAGAAAACAATTTCGAATATTCCTTTTTTTGAATAATTAATAAGAGATATTATTAAACTATTCGTTTAAGAGATATTCAAAACTGATACTTCAAGCTTATAAATAATTTAGAATTATTTGATATCTTAATCTAAAAAATTATAAACTAAGAAGCTTCAGGTTGAAATAATATTCAAATTATTAATAAAATTATTCTATTCTTGAAGAAATTGTTTTGAGTGTGATCAATAATTTGTTATTATGATAAATATTTATAATATAGTAAAGTATAGAATGAATAGAATATTATTTAACTAGAATTATCATACCAATAAATCACAATTAGATACAAACTAATATAAAAAGAGATTGATGAAATATAAAAGTTTTTAATATTTTTTGAAATCAACGATTTTTGAAATATTCAATTTTGTCATATTTTTATTTTTAAAGCACCCAACTATGATCAGCTTATTATTTCTAGATTATTTATTGTATAATACATAATAATTATTTGGTTTATCATGAGTTTTAAGTCCTACTTTTTCTAGTTCTTAATGCAAAATAGATAATTTTTCTTCATCTCCTTTAACAGTAATATTTCCTATATTCTTAGTTCTTCCTGAGTTTATAGGATTTTTCATTTAAATATCAGAAATCTATATACCTTATTTTAATAAAGATCTTTTTAAATCCAAAGCATCAAAATTATTATTGTCTGTTTAAAACTCTACAGTAATTTATTTTGATTTATTGATTATTGGTTATGATTTACCAGAAGTGCAATTATAATTTTTATTAATCTGTGCTCCATTTAATATTGAAGGAGATTTATTATCTCTTTATTTCTCTTTCAATGGCTATTCTGGTTATTTATATTCTTTTGTTTATTGTACGCCATCAAAAATATTTGATTGATGAAAATATTTATTCTACATAGTAAAATTCATTCTTGAAGGTGATCCAGCAGGTTTTGGAGAATTTGTGATATTTGCATTATTAACATAATTTCTAGCTTATTTAGTCATACAATTAAGATCTGTTTATTATGTGTCTGCACTCCTCTTGTACATGTAATTATCATTTGTAATATTATAGAAGAAATTTGGAGAATGATCTCTTCTTGGAGATTAGCCTTTGTTCATAATTGCTGTTATTTATATTATTTTTAATTTAAATATCATCCATAAAATTACTTCAATTTTTCATTATTCTGTTACAATCTAGTTTCATAATTCTTAGAGGTTGGACCAAGTCTGGATTATTGAAGTGAAGAATCTAGTAAATTTAATGTTATGTTACGTATATTTGATTGATAATGAGAAGTATCATAAACAGATTAATAATTCAGATTTTTTTAAGGAATTGTCTATGAAATAGGAGGATTAATTTCTTATTTTTTATTAACAGGTTTGAATTATTAATGATATTATTATGATTGAATTCCAGTAGTCTTTTTACTTTCTCTAATTTATTAAGTTTAATATTCTAATTCTTCTGCATAATTAGCTTAATGAATTTCGACATATTCATTCAAAGCATCATCTAAAAGGAAATAATAAAAAAAAATAATAACTTATTTTTTGCAATTTATCTTCATGAATGCATACATCAAACATATTATCCAAATAATGCTTTAAAGCATTGTCAATATCAAGAGATAATCCTTCTAGATCATGATTCTTCTCTTCAGATATCACAACTAAACAAGCTTTGATATATTTTTATGATTGTAATGCTTTTTCTTGTGAATCTAATTAAGTAATAACTGTATTCAATTTATGATGTAATTCTTTTTTCTCTCCAGGATGTGCAGCCTTAATACAAAATTGAAATATACTCTATGTTATTGGATTCTTTTCTATATTTCTTTTTCTAATTGATTACAGTAATCATTAACCAATTTAAGAAGATTTTTTTTGACTTATTCTATTTTTCCATGAATTGATTTAATCAATTGAGAATGCTCTCCATCTGAAAAATGATGTAATATTTCTCTTTCTCTAACATATACTTAGCAAACTTACTCTTCAAATCTAATTTTAAGATTGTGAACATCGGAAAATAACTTCTCTCTAACACTATCAACAGTGTCAATATTTGCAGGTGTTCCTTATGAATTATGCCATTGAATATGTAATTTACAACATTCTTTGCATAATGGCTTATACATTAAATTTAACTATACCTCTTTGCATTTATCATGTATACAAAATAAAACAACGTCGTTGATAGGATGCCTTGAGCATTTTTCATATGCCGGAGCTAATTATTATTATGGTTGCATAACTGAAAAATAAAATAAATATTATTTATGTTATCTTTATATGTTAATAATAAAATATAGAATAGTAAAAAAATCTATTAACTCTTTTTATCACTTTATTTGATATGATATCACATGGTCTTATATTTAGTATAAATCCTAAAACACTTTATTTAAATATCATTAATAAACCAAAATTAGATCGATTAATTAAACATTATTTATTAAATTTTAAAATGCTGAAAAACTCATAGATTAGCTGTTATTCGTTATAAAAATCTGGAGAATCATAAACAACTTAAGATACTTATAATAGTATTTCAAAAATAAATTATTAGATACATATAAAGGATAAAAAAAATCTGTCTTATTAATACTAAACCAAAGTTAATTAATAGATTAGCCTTTAGAAGTCTAATCAATGTTTATATTTCCTTCATCAGCAGATGACTCTAGGACTCCAATATTTATAGACTGTCCTGCTTGTCGTTAGAAATCTGAAACCTTAATAGCCTACTAAAATGGAAATTACACCTTCATTTGTGCTCTACTCTTACTTTTATTATGTTTCCCTATTGCGTTTTTGCCATTTTGCAAGAATGATTGCAAAGATGTAATTTAGCATTGCAGTAAATGTGCTGCCACAGTAGGATAAGCCTAATTCAAACCATTCCGGAGTTGATACAAAATGATTACAACTTTAATGACGATAGTGTTTATTTCATCATAAAAGAATTACAACTATTAAATTATTATATTTTCAGACAATTATATATTAAAATAATTTTAATTTGTTATAGAATGAAAATAATAAAAATAGATGATTCTTGTAATATATAATATCATTTAGATTGAGAGAGTCCAAAATAAGTTTCTTACTTTCTATTCTACTTCATTTAATTTTGAATTCTTAATAAACCTTATTTTAAGTAAAAAAATTTAACAAGAGTTGCATCAGTATAAATATTTAGAGTCATAAAATATGGAGAAATTGAATTAAAAATATAATTAGAATCTTGATCACTTGTATAAGTAAGATTACTTGCATTAGTAAGATTATTTTTTATGATATTCAAAAATCTTCTAATAAATTGTTATGACCAATCACAATAACCATCTTAAAAACACTAAATTATAATCATTATTTTGAAAGCCTCTCAGTAAAAGGTTTACTCTGATGATCACATTTTTCAACCTTTCACTTAATTTATCCAAAGAGATAAAAGGAGGCTATTATAAATAACATCTCATTTCTTGTATTCGTTATTTTAGCTTTCTTCTTTGTATTTAATGGTTGTCTCTTATTTATTTCAAATTTTGCAAAATTCCATATTGTATTTAATTAATTTCCAACTTCTTTTTTGCATCACTAAAAAAGAATAGATTATTTACAAAATAATGTTTTTTTACTAAATAGACCTGTTTAATATGGAAGTGATTATAATAAAAATAGCAGCATTAAATTAATCTTGAATTCCTTAAATTAAAAAATCAATATTATTACAATAGAAATTAACCATTAGATATTTTATTTTTGTATAATAAAAACTAATCTATTCCTATATTTTCGATTATTTAATGATAAATATTATTTTAAGAAAGGAGTGAAGTGATAAAATTAGAAATTAATAATTGTAATCTTAGAATGAATTAATTAATAAATGAGATCAGCTATTATTTGTTTAATAATTAGAGTTGTTTATAAATTAATGAGCAATCAATAGCTTTAAAAGTTGATAAACAACACTTTTATAACTAAAAAGAGAGTTTCTGCTGGATCTTTTGGTGTAGTATATTGTGGTTAAGACATAAATACCAGAGCTTTAGTAGCAATAAAGATTGAAAAAGGCAATAAGGAAGACTCAAGTCTAGAAAGAGAGGTAATTAAAATATCATGAAACATTAAGGCTGAAATACTAAAAAGATTGTAAAAGGTACCATAAATTCCAAAATTATATTGGGCAGGAAAAGAAGGAGATTCAAATGTGCTTGTTATATAATATTTGGGAAGAGATTTGACACATTATATGAAAACATTTCGTAAATTTTCACTTCGCTGTGTACTCAACATAGCTGAACAAATGATAAACATCATAGAAAATATTCACAAAAAGTAAGAAATGTTAAATCAAAAATTTAGCAAAGTGTTGCATCGTGATATTAAACCTGAAAATGTTTTAGTAGGAAAAGAGGAAGAAGAGAATCTACTCTTTATAGTGGATTTTGGAATTAGCAAGTTTTATAAGGATGAAAATGATTCGCATATGTAAAATAAATCAGTATAATTAAGTTCATATCGAGAGAACTAACCATTTATTGGAACTACAAGATATGCCAGCATTAATGCTCATAAAGGCACATCTTTAAGTAGGAGAGATGATTTAGAATCATTAGGCTATATGCTCATCTTTTTATTAAAGGGTAAAATGTACCTATATTATATTATAAAGGTTAATTACCCTGGTAAAATTTACAATTCACAGATGATGAAGATAAAATGCGTTAAGTTGGCTAAATGAAGATGAAAATGGAAATGAATGAACTTTGTAAAGGAATTCCCATAGAATTTGGAAGATTTCTAGAATACATTAAAGGTTTACCATTCAAAGCTGAACCCAATTACAAACATTGCCAATAACTTTTTAAGAAAGTATGCTAAGAACACAATTTTACATAAAAAGATCTAGCCTTTGATTGGGAAACTGGTCCTAAATCTGATAGGAATGATGATAAAAGAAAACAAACTATTGAAGGCCATTTGCCTAGTAGTTAAAATAGCAATTTAGTAAATAATAAACCATCTTTGTATTTATACAAATTTATTATTTTTTAGATTTAAAAAATCAAAAGATGATATCTCATCAAATAATATTGGAGGCTCTCTTCTCAACTACTCTCTTGAATAATTGGAGATGAATTCATTACTCAAAACTCCAGAATAAAGAAAATCAAATTTAACTCCTGATATTAATAGAAGAAAGAATAGAATGTAATCAGTGAGTAGTTACAATGATTCTCATTCTGAATTGGAAAACAATGGAAGTGTGATGTTAGGAATTCAACCAAGTATGATAAGTAGATTAAGCAAATTATCATTTAATTCAAATTCTCGAGTACGTGATAGTAAGTAGAATCTTACATTAACTCCAGAATAGAAGAGACCACATTTCTAAGAAAAAAAACTAACAATTACTCCTAATTCTTATATGGAGTAAATTACTAGTTAAAAAAAGAAGTCTTTAATTAAGAATTCCAATTCATAGTAGTAACTATCATTCAAAAAGGAAGAAGTTGAGGAAACTATTAGAGATTTTTCTAAAATGAATGAAACAGATGAGGGAATCGAACCTAAATATATGCTTCTTAAATAAGCATCAGTAAATGCGTATGTAAATTTTATATATGATAATGTAGACGCTTCAAAAAATCAATAAACGGGTCAGCCAATGTTATGTATAAATAATTTTGATATTTTAATATTTCTGTATTAATTTAAATTAAAACTTAATTAATTCTTAATAATTCTGAATCAAGAGTCAAAAAACAAAAATTGGTTTTATTCTTTTAAATAGTTCATTGCTTTAACAGCTTCATTATAAAATAATTTGACTTTTTCCATCTAAGGAATACATTCTAATGGAATTGGAGGAGGTTAATCATTCTGTTATAATGATGAATAAGGATTAGTAGTATTTCTACTATTTCTTGAAGTTCTAGATAATGCAATAGTCTGATTAATGGTTTGATTAGTAGGCTATATCGATTATATGGTCTTTATCTTTTATCCTTTAGTTTTATATTAAGTTGTGAATAATTGTTTTTTTAGTTTTCCTCTCTACGTTTAATATTCATATCTGGATTCATAACATAATGATTATGTTTTTGTAGATTTTTTTGATTAAACATTTAAGTAATCATCTTTTAATTGTTTGAATAAGAAATTAGTATCTGTATCCAATAAAGGGTCAATTTTAGATCGAATTGATTTTTCTTACAAATCAAAATTTAAAATGTCTAACTTCTTTTTCACTTTACTATTACTAGATATTTTTGAATATAAAAAATTACTTTTATAATTATCTAACTGATTATATTTTTGAACCATTTTACTCTGATTAGTTGTGTTTATGATCTATTTTCTAAAATCCTTATTATAAAGGTTGCAATTTTTATAATATTTTTGGATCAATAGGATCTGGTTGTGTCTCAACAAATGGTTCAGTTGCTTAATGTATTCTATCTTTCAACAATTTATTTGCATATATATTCTTTTCAATTTCTTCTATTTTCTCTCTTATATATTCATCTGGTAATTCTGTATAATGATGTATTTCCTTCACTTTTATTTTAGGAAGTAATTGACTCTTTGCACCCTTAATTTATTCTAATATTGACTCTCTTAATTCAATTTATATACATACATCTAATCTTAATGTTTGGTTCCTCTAAAATTAACCACTTATGGTTGATGCTTTAGAATTTACTACATTAATAATTTAGTAGATTTCATCTATGTTTCAAAATCTTCATTATGCTTTTCAAGTTCATCTTTATTTGATAGTTACTTTTCTTCAATTCTAACATCAATTTCAAATGAACTAATTCTATTACCAACTATAATAAATTAATATTTATTGATTTCAATAATCTTCATATGATTAGTAGGTTTAAGAATTTTTTTATAAGTAGTTAACTTTCTAAAATCCTCAGTGTCAAACACTCTTATTTAATTACTTGAATCATAAGTTACTAATAAGTCTTAAACAAAACCAATAGCAAGAACTGTATATTCAGGTTTACAAATTTGAATAGTTTTATCTTTTGTATAATCTACTCCATTTTCTTCGATTAACCATTTTTAAATTTTATGTGTAAAATTTATAGAATAAAAGCATTATCCTGCTTCATAAAATATAAATCTAAGAATTAAGTATTTATAGATATTATTACGTCTAAATAAGCAATGAATCCTATATAACAATTAGTTATTCAAATTTTGGATTAAAAATATGCACTCTTTTCATATCAGTTTACAAACAGATCATTTCATTTTTTTACAATTCTATTATACTTTGTATTTTGCCACCCTATAATTATAAGGGTACTCTTGTTTATTGATGCGTTTTTGGATGCCATAATATCAATTATTAATTGGTTGTAACCGATCCCCAGTGATCAAGCATTTAAAGATATTGAATCTTGGTCAATAAGTATTCACATTATACTAATTTATTATTATGCAATTGATCCATCTAAGATTAAATAATAGTTAAATACAAAACTCAAGAATAATATATGATTATTAGAAAGACTGCAACAAAATTCTTTTATATTCTCAGCAAAGTCAAAATCTAAAATTATGTAATGAGTATCAGGATTATCTAGTTTTATTTCCTTATGAATTTGAAAGTCTGTCCCTAATAGATAGATTTATGGTTAATTTTCTTCTAATAAGGCAATTTTTTAGATCGATTTTGTGTAGATTGCCTAAAAAACATATAATTTCCAGTACTTTTTATATCTCGTGTTTATGGTACATAGTGTCTTAACTTTTGCTTTCTGTTATTTTGTAATACGCATGTTGGATATTGTCTTACTCATCATTCTCACTACATGACATATAATATGCGACAAATTATTCAAAAGTGATAATTCCATTTTAAGCTATCTTTTCAGCTAACTCTCTCAATCCATTTATCATATATGGAACTTCATCTAATTGAAATTATATCAATTTCAAAAGTAATAACACAAATCCTGAAATTTTTATCCTATTCCCAAATTTAACAAAGTATTCTTTAATTTTATGTAATTCTAATCCGTACAATTTCGAGAGTATATAGTCTGTGTTAAACATTTCAACCAATAATTTTTCATGAGCTTTCTTATGGATTGTCTATTAAAAATGATAACTTAACAAGTAATCAGCAAAATCTAAATAACGAGCTATTTTAGGATCTTCTAATAGAGTTTATTGGAGACTTTAATTTTTTAATTCCAAGTAATCTAAAGCTTTTTATTCATTGAATTCCTCTAAATTGATTTGTTTAAATTACATTATTTATTATAAAATTATTAGAAAAAAAATCATGATTATTGAGGCAATATTTCTCTTTGAATAACAAAATCGTTTTCAGTATCATTTTGAATAAACTTCAATCCTTATTCATTAGCTAAATGTAACATTGTAACAAAACAAGTTTGTATTGAAACCCTACCTTTGGATTAAGGAATTTTTAAAATCTTAGGTAAAATTTTATTAATCTCATTAAATTCTAAACCTGAATGCTCTGTTGATAACTATATGTATAGAATTATAATAAAATACAGGTATTGATTATTATAAATTTTACCAAACTTAAGTTTTTAATTCTTTAATTGGAATATTCAATTTTCCTTATGTATTATTAGTATTTTTATATGCTGAATTAAAGGCAGTATTTTATTAGGTTATCAATTGTTAAGGATCTTCATCTATAACTCCTATATCAAAATTATCATTTTATAAAAATGGCTACTCTTAAATATCTTCCTCCCATTTTGGTAATTTGGATACCTAAAATGGTTAACATAAACTAATATAATAAATAATTATAGTTACTCTTATCTATCTATTTGATAAGATTTAGGCAATAGATATAATTAATTCATTGTTTCTTTGTTATTGCAATAGTTTTCCTTTTCCCTTTTTTAAAGAATATTTTATCTATCTAAATCTTTGTCATCCTCTTCAGCATCAAAAGTAAAAAGTAAACCATTTTTCTTTTTAGTTTTGTTCTTCTTGGGCTTTTCATTTAATTAAGTAATATTTTTTTTTTTAGGTTATTAGTTCATATCCAAAGCCATCCATGCAACTTATTCTTTTTCATTTTCAAAGACCTTTCCTGTTCCAATATTAGCTGCTGCTTATTCAAAATTTAAAATATTGAATTTATGTTATGAAAATTTGTTTCCACTTTATTAATTAACAATAGCATTTTAAAATTGATTTACTGAAAGTATAGATGCTTATTCATCCATTATCTCATCTTGCATATTCATATTCTCATATAATTAATCCTCTTAATTAAAATCCATATTCAGAGCTATTGGGTCCATCACATTAGCAAATGATATGTTTTATTTGATTTCTATTATATTTTATCCTTTTTGAAACATATTCTCTCTAAATTCAGTTAATTCTGGACACAATTTTAAATTGTGTAAATTCTTTAAAAAGGACTTATATTCTATTTATATTTTTAATATGTTACTTTCTATATTCAATGAACATGTGATAGGTTTAATGGGTAATACATCAGAATCTAATGCAAGCATCAAATTCTCATTTATTGTTAGATTATTCATTAATAATCCTTTAGCTCCTGCTTCATCAAATTTTGCTGATGTTTATTAAAATAGAGGATCAATTTCAAATTCTAAATCATATTTATTTGTGTCTATATTTGCTTGATTTTTCTCTAATGTGTTCTCACCTCCCGTATTTTATAATTTCTTTTTTCTCAATTATTCTTATTCATATTCTTGCTATTCTTCTTAATTTTGTTTTTCATTAATTTAGGTTCTATGCAAACCTCCAAGTACTTTAAATGTGTTTTAATGAACTAAATCCACTCTAAATCCATATATTTTCGATCCCGCATCTAATGAAGCGGATATTTGTTTCCAAGCATCTCCTTATTCGATTTCTAAAATATGAATAATCACATACATTTAAATGCATTTAGATCTTTAATATTGATCATTGGTATCTCAAATGAATTTTTTTCATTTACTCTCTATTTTCATTATATTTTAAACTAGTACATTCTTTTAGATTAACCCTAATACAAAACGTGATTATTCATCAGGATCATCTCTGTTCTTGAGTTCCCCTTCATCATCACTTGAACTTGTATCTCCTTCTTTTATAGCAATTTGTTAAAATTTTGGATTCTGTTATTGTTTTAACTAATTAAAAGAATGAATGTCATTCTCTTCATGAGTTGCTAAATCATCTACTCCACTTGGCATTTCCTTTTTCTTTTTTAAATACTGCGATTTGGCTGAAACTTGTTTGTTCTTTTTCATAATAATTTGAATAATAAATCAATTATTTTTGGCTCCAAACAAAGCCTAATAAAATAAAGTAAATTCAAGAAGGTTTTCATAATTTAAACTAATAAAATTTTAGAAAAACATTAAAATATTTGTTTCATTTTTTGAACTTAATTTTATAAGATAATTACAAGGTGATAATTTATATATGAGCATTTATCAATGATATTTGTTAAAATTTATTGTTTTCTTATTTAATATGAACAGTCTTCAAAATTTATATATTAAATATTATAAAATTCTGTATTAACGTATAATTAATATATTCATTCTTAATTATTTAATTGATAATATTCATTAGTTTAAGGATCATAAAAACATTTCAATTTTGGATCATAGACTAATTTCAGATACTCTTCATCTTTTTAATCTAAATCCTCTAGATAATCCTCTAAGTATTCGTTATCATCTTAATCTTATTAAATCTCTTCAAAATATGATGGATTATCTTTAGGTTCTGATTCTTCATCATTCATGGAAGATTATAATTTGTCATCTAAACCAATATTATCATATTTTTTAAAATTTTAAGATTATTATTGATGCTAGGTTTGTTTAGTTTAAATTGATTATTCAGGTTTGCTATATTTATATTTCCCTATTTTTTATTTTTATTCAATAGGCTACTTAACATCATAAACATATCTATAAATATTTAAATAATACTTATCTGGACTTTTTGGCAAGCACTATATTTGAGAACTTAAAGCAAACTCATTATAATTCAACAATCTAAACGTAATTAATTAATTTGAATAAGGAAAAGACTCTGGAAAATTTACTTGTTTTGGAACTATTGCAAAACCTTAGGTGAAAGTTATATCTATTTCACTATCCTAAATTGGATATTTCATGATATAAATTTTTCTCAATTTGCAAGGCGAACCAATAATTATTTAATCTATGGATCGAAATGTACACCCTTTAAATGCTTCCATAAAGCTCCAAACATCTATACATAAATTTAACCATTATCCTCTTTTTACATGATCTATTGGAGATTTAATATGAAAATGATGATTTTCAAGACTCTTCACACTATCTGTTAACACTATCCTTCTCTTAGTTTTTGTTGTATCAGTAACATCTAATTCTAAAGTCCATACAAACCCAAGATCTATATTCACCTACACAACTAAAAATTATTAAATCAAGCCTAGTTCACCTTATTTAGGAAATTAAATCCTAGTGGAGTCACCTAAGAATTCATAAATAAATCCTGTGGTTTAGATTTTAATTACCTTTCATTTCTTTATCAAAATACCTTGAACTTTTTAAAGGGTAATTGATTTTAAACAATTTCTTATATAGATCTTCTTTTTCTTTACTCCCTTTGGTTTCTACTTCCTTTGGATCGAAAACTTAGAAATATGATCCTGACTAAAATTCGTGTAAAAACATTATTTAATTTTTTAATAAAACTGTCTCACATTCATTATTTCTTCGTATAAATTATAAAGAATGAAAAATAAATGATTATTTTAATAATATTATCGTAAAAAAATAAATAGATAATAAATTAATGAATACTGATTATGAAGATTAGGATGAAAATAATATAGATGATCTAGAAAACTTAGACATTAGTAAAGTAATTTAATCCAAGTATAAATAAAGGAGAGTTGGGATGTAAATGTAATGCTTATACATCTTAAGATCGCAATATTAATAAAGAGAGCATTAAAAAGTCAGATAAAATCAAATTGTACCTGATCTTGAAAATCAACCTATTTAATAAACATAAATCAATTAAACAACTTAATCAGAAGTATTAGTTTCGCGATCTGATAACTAAGAGAACGACTAGAAATTGATTACATTTAGATGTCAAAACAATCTAAATCATTAAATAAAAGAAAAACCAAAAAAGAATTAAAGTAAATTTATAATTTGAAATAAGAAACTTGTTTTACCTAATATAATTAATGCAGAATTTGTGGAGATGGAGATTCTGATTAATGTCCTTTAATTAAAGCTTGTGAATGCGTAAGGTCGAGATATTATGTTCATGAAGAGTGTTTAAAACAGTAAATTTTGGATGAATATAACTACAAAATAAGAGGAGCTAAATGTTCTTCATGTTAAGTCTAATTCAATATGATAATAGAGGGAAACTTTATTTTTCTACCTGTAAATTATAGTTCTTATATATATAAAGAGGTTAGGTTGGTAGTAAAGTAAAGATAAAATTCCATTATTTTGTTTAATCACTTTCCAACTTGTACTTGTGGTGATTGTTATTTTATTATCAATTAGATTGTAAATTTATTAATTAAGATTTAGAACATCAATTTAGGAAACTAAAAATAGATAAAACTTTCTAAATTCTAAAGTGTTTATCATTCTTTTTATAGCTATTTGCTGCATCATAAGCATAATTTTAGTTTGGTTAATTACAATGATTATGAGAAATATACTTTATGTAGAAAAAATTACTAAATGGAAGATCATCCCCTATCTTATCAAATAACCATCATTTACGATGCCATAAAATATAGAAATTAATAATAAAGGAATATTATAACTTTAATAAATGATCCAATAACAACAAGAATAAACTCATACAAATGAAGACCTAACAAAATCAGAATATATTAATACGACTAAGACTCAATATAAAAGATATTTTACTTCCCTAAAATTAAAGTAATAAGATAGTTTGATTTCTTGAATCTCTTCAAAATACATCTTAAATTGATTAAATATTTATTATCAATCAACTATACATTCTTTATATGATGAATTACTTGACAATACCCATTTCCACAGCTCTGCCCGATAAGTAATTTAGAACTAATGGACTAGTGGGTGATTAATCCAATGTAATTACTATATTTTCTTCTATTGATGTTATGTCAATAAACTACTAGATGTAGTTTTTTGATATTTAGAAAAAGCTCTAATTCAATTAAAATAATTATATACATCAATTTGTTTTAAATTTTCTGCTTGATGTTATGATGCCAAAAAAAGTGTAGAGAAGGATGGAACATCATTTTCTAATTGCACAATTATTTCAACTGAATATAAGCCTTATTATTTATAAAAATTTAATCTCAAAGGAGCGTCATAATTTTTTGCAATTGTTGCCATTCTAAAATTAAGTTAGTTTTTTACTAGTTCAACAAATAAGTAGGCATTATTATCATAGGCTATAATTCTAATTAAACAATCTCTAATTCTTCTATAAATTCTATATATGTCTGTTTTATAATGCTAGTGTCATCTTGCTATGTGATATTCCACTAATTCATTTTAATATTCTATACAGTCAAAAATATTTAATCTTCAATTTACTCTAAATAAATTCTGACATCTTTTGGATTTGAGGCAATTTTATTGACAGCACCAACTACAGTATCAAAATCTTAGAACTATAAAATAATGTATTTATTGTTGCATTGCTAATTGCCCAATTTTAACTGTTCAATCACTTGATTATTATCTAAAAATAAGGTTAATATTACTAATATAATAGCAAGACGAAATTGATTCTTTGCAATATAACACTAAATCAGTTGAAGTTATTCTAAAGTAAACCTTCTTTACTCTCGGATTGGCTCTCTTAAAATGAATGAAAAAGCTCTTCAATTCTGGTAATGAATTATTTTCAAATAAAGCGCATAAATATACTTCTTACATTATAATAATTATAAAAACAGAATTCAACTAATTCGAACATAATTTACATAATATTTTGTAATTATTTAGTATGTATGCATGAGAATTATTATAATAAAGATTAATAGAATAATCATTCAAATAATTCATCGAAACTGTAAACAGATAGTTTTATCAATGCACTGTTTTCTAAAAAAGCAATATGAGCTGCACTTCCGATCATAACATCTAATGATCTACAAAAATTAAATTAAATATACCTTCCAGATTATTCGTAATTAACATCTAACCTTTCTATTTTTTTATTTTATATTGTTTCCATTAAATTATCTATCATTTTGTTGGTAATTATAATATCTTTACTATTTCCTTTTGGTCTTTAGATGCGAGCTGACTCAAATGGACTATAAGTGTCTTGGTACGAACTCATCAAGGCTATATTGTTAAACCATCCTAAGCCCTCTAACTTAGATAATTTATAAAGACAGGTTTCTTGAATATTCTAAGAATCATTTAAAGTTAGCTAATTCAAACAAATACATTTCTTCCATTTACGAATTACCCATAAACCAGTATCTACAAGTTTACTTGAAGATAAAGAATAACCCAAATGAGGTGTAGCCAAAGATAAATATGTGTACATTTTATCTTTATATTTTGTTAAATATTGTAAAGAGGCTCTAATTATTAAACCACCAAGAGAATGACCAATAAATGAAAGTTTTGAAAAATTTTCTTTAGGGCACCATTCTTTGATCCAAAGCTTTACTTCTAGTGCTAATTTTTCTCCCATTACCATTATGTCTTATTCCGTATTATCTTAATTACATTTTGAGAGCAGAGTTAAATGTTCAGGGTATCTAACAGAAATATTATTTCTCCATAATCTTAAATCATAAGAATTTCCTTAATAACCATGAACAAATACAAATAAATGTAAGCCTTTGATTTACTTGCTTTAAATTTATTGCTTTTAAGAAACATCTCTAAAAACTATTGGGTGTATTTTAGCATCAGGAAATAAATCAAGATCTTCAATATTTAAAGGTTCTAATTATTTATAGTAGTTATTATTTCGATATTACTGAGCCATTTATTTATGGTTCTTTCCTGATTAGGTATCTTAAAAGGAGAGATCATCAACAGTTTAAATATGCTAGAATATACTTTCACCCCACCTTTCTTTAATCTTTTGTAAATATTCTTACTCTAATTTATTAGTTAAAGCTGAAGCCATAAAATTATAAGCATCAATAAATTAATACCAAGCCACAAAGATTTAAGAGGAAATATGCTTAATTTCCAAAAAAATTTAATTGCTAATTTCTTATTGTAGTTAAGGATTACCTTTAAGATCATTCAATTTATTTGTATATTCAGAGAAAGGCTTATAATTTTAAGTTTTCGCATTTAAATAAGAGAACTTACTGTATTTATTTTAAATTTATTCATCTGATATGCATTGCTTCACTCTAGTTTAATAGTAATTGGCTAACTATTCATTAGTTTACATAAGCATTTTATTATAATATGAGTAGAATCCAGTTAATAAATGAGGAGAAACTAATTGCTAATTTGATCATTTACATTGATTTGTTATTTTATTCATAAATTAGTGAAGGGATAAATCATTTTGTTGATGATATTTGAAGTCAACTAAAACTGAGTGCAGACTGAATTTTAATAAACAAAAGTGAGAATCATCAAATACACAGGGAACGTATTCTTTTATAAATTTAACATTGTGTAATTTGCTTGAAAATTTGGCTATGCATTTTTAATAATTCTGTAATCGATCCTAATAATTCAAAATGAAAAATACTGGCTTAAAATCTTCTTGTGTTATTGTACTTAGTTCACAAAAATGAAGTTCAATAATGCAATATAATTCATTTAAGTTCATTTCTGGATAAGCTTGGATTTCAATTCTAAACACACATCCCTCATTTAACTCTACAATTTAATCACAATATTTTATAACAAAAGCTTTGCTGTAAAAGCTTGTATCAATAAGTTTAGAAGATTAGACATAAGTATCTGTAGTTTATTTATTGAAAAATCTTTTTTGCTCTACAGTCATGTATGGTTGGGCGGATTTAACATCTAATTGGGTATCATCTTTCTTATAAATGCAAATCTTAAGTTGATAAACTCCTTATTAAAAAAGATCAATGTTCCTTAGCTCTTTTAAATATACAAATATTTCTATTGTCCCACTAATCATTAAATAATAAAAATAGTTTAAAACAAGTATTTTAATATGCTTGACTCTAAACCTAAACATTTTAGATTGTTTAAATATTTTGATAAAATAACAATGTTGTGTTTATGTTTGTGAAATCTAATATGTGATTGAAATTTTTTTTTTCAGAATTATTAATTATTATTAATGGAATTACTTCATGTCGATTTTGAACAATTAGATCAGGAGATTTTGGCAGCCTTATTTCCAATTTAACAATAACCACTCTTATGTGAAGAAGATAATTTATTAGGTCACGTTGATTTATTATTCGAATAAATAAATACTGTGGATAATCACTAGTAATTAACTATTGATGAGTTTAAATTGAATTGCACATTGAGTAATACTTCATTAGATTAATAGTTAGAAATACATTATAAGACCTTATTTAGCTAATGAAAAATTTAATTCATAAATATATCAAAAGCATTTGCACCATAAACAGAATATAATATGCTGTTAACTATTTGATTATTCTTAAAGATTTGTATGAAACTGTACTTGAATTATTTGCCAATAGTTTAGAATAACCTAGCCCAAGGTTTTAAGAATTATTAACAAAGTACTCAAATAATGAAGAATTTCGAATTAAAGCTAAAAATATATAAGATATAAATTTTTTTGGGCTTCAACATATGAATCATGTTTTTACGCAAGATACATTGAAATAAATTATTAGAATAAGTCACCATTATCTAACCAACCATGATTCATAAGCATTGGAATAAAAATTAATTGTTTATAATTCACATCTTAATATATTGGTGAGAATATTTGCATCAGCTATCGATATGAATAAACAAGATATAATTTGCTTAAATAAAAATCATTTATTCTGGAGATAAATAAAGGCAATTTCTACATATACAAAGTTGAGTTAAAACTCAGAACAAATATCTTAATCATACTATAATTTTATGAAATCCATCAGGATTGGTCATGCTATTTTTTTAAAGAAATCCAAAGTTAAAAATTCATTAATGAGAGATATTATTTTTATTTCTTCTTCAGTTTGGTATTTTGTACTAGATGGGAGAGCAAAATTAAGAGCTATGGAACATATGTGTGATATGTAAGTAGAAAGTGCTATGAGTGTTATGGGAATGGTTGAAAAACCAGGGATTAAACATCTTATTGAATTTGGAATTACTTCAATCAATAATAATATAAAAATTTACATTGATCCTGTCGTATCACCTCTAACCTTGAAATACATGAATAAACAATTTTAAAAAGGCATTCTGAATAAAATTACAAATGAACCTTTAGAATATGTTAATAAGTCTATACATTACGACATTAAGCAGCATAAATCAATAATGACTAAAGATAAAACTAAATTACGAATAAGAATATTATCTTCAAAATCTTTAGTGAAAACAAACTCATTTCAATAAAGTTTTTTTTCATAAATTTAACATGAAGCCTTAAATTATGATACATTTGAAACGATAATTATTCATTTTCATGGGGGAGGTTTTATCTCAATGTCTTCATCTAGTCATTAAAATTATACCAGAGAGTAATCTGTTTCTTTAAATTAGATGGGCTAATCAATTAGGAATACCTATTTTTTCTGTTGATTATAGCTTAGCTCCAAAATATAGATATCCTTAAGCTGTTGATGATTGTTGGCAAGCGTATCATTGGATTTTAAATCATCTTCAATATCACTTTAACATCAAACCAAAAAAGATTATTTTAGCTGGAGATTCCGCTGGAGGCAACCTATGTTGTGCATTAACAGGATTGGCTATTAAATTTGGTATTAAAGTACCTGATGGACTTCTGCTATCTTATCCAGTACTTGATCTGAAAATGAAATATTCGCCAAGTCATATGCATGGCCTTGAAGATTTCCTTTTGAATCATACATTAATGGATATTTGTATAGATGCCTATACTAATCATCCTGCTAGTTATGAATTTGACCCTTTTAGAAGTCCCAATCATTTTAGTGATGAAGTAATAATTATAAAGATTCAAGATAATTTCTAAATTTCCTCCAGTTAGAATATTGGTTGGCTCAAAAGATCCATTAATTGATCATTCTCACAGATTAGCACATACTTTAATAAAAAATAAAAGAAATGTGAAAATTATTGTTTATGAAGGCATGTCTCACGGATTTCTAAGTTTTTACATGTTAGGAGGAATGAAAGAATCCTCAAAATGCATAGAAGATTCAATAATATTTCTAAAAGAGTTGATTTCTTTAAAAAAATATTGAAAATAAAATCTTAAATATTCTTGAGGATTTTATTTAACATTAAAAAACTGTAACATAATAATTCAAAGTATATTTTATTTCAGCAATCACATGCATCACTTAAGCACTCGCACTCATAACAATAACTTGAGCCAGATGATGATTAATTCTATTTATCTTTTTTTTTCTTTTTTTTTTCCTTTAATGGTGCTACAGCTTAAGTTGGAAGAGCTTTTGGAATAAAATCATTAACTTGTTCTTAAGCCTAATAAAATAAAATATAATGTAACTTTTGGAACTTTAAATTCAACCCTTTCTCTTTGTTTCCCATAAATTGGTTTAGAGTCTTCTTTTTTTTCCAATGGCTTTTAAGGTAGTTTTAATTAATATGGATGTACAACATTAGGTGTTTCGTATTTTGCCCATTCTTCTTCAGGAGGTTTAGGACGGTATTTCTATATTTTTGGTTATTTAAATGGTTTTTCATCTTTTGTTTTTTTTACTTCTGGCAATTTTTCTACTTTTACAACTGGAAGAGGTTGAATTGGACATTCAAGGAGATGTTCTGGCAATGGGATTTCTTATTCAGATGGATCTTTTTTTTAAGGCTTTTCTTTATATTTTTTTTCAGAAATTTCTTCTTTCTTTATTAAAATTCTTTCGTATTCTGACTCTGATGATCCGGATGAACTGTATACAAAGTTTATTCTCCTCATTCTTGGATCGTGGTATATAATCTAATCATAAAATGGAGTAGTATCAGACTTCTTTTTTCTTTTTCGATTTCTTTTTAAAATGAAAACTAAATACATTTTTATTTCTAAATTTTTTTTAGGAACCAAATTTTTTGCGCAGTTACAATCTGAATCTGAATTTCCTAATTCACAACAACTGTTTTCACTTACACTATCATTTCTTACTTAAAAAAATATTTTTTAAGAATTCTTCTACTTATTCAAAAATCTTTTGCCTTCTAACGAACGATCAATACTAATTTATACTGGTTTGCCAGTCTTATTAAGTTATTCAACTACAAGTGAAAAAATATTACTACTTGATGAAATTTGATTTTCTTTACTTTTACCTTTTAGATAATTTGGATGCTATTTTTTGCTATCAAATTCGAGTGGTATTGGATAATCTAATACAATTAAAAGAATAATTACTCACTGATGTTGAATTCCCTTCAACATTCTTTAACTTTCTTTCTCCATTCCCATCTATTTTTTTCATAACGGATTATTTTAAAATTAACTTTAAAGTTTATAGTAAAGAAGAAAAATAATTTTATAAGAATACAATTTTTTATTTTGATTATATATAATTAATTTTGCATTGAGAGGAAAGTTGTTGGAAAATATTATTTCAAGTCATAAAATAAGGATATAGGCATTGTAAACACAAAATACTTGGAGAGGACTATTATTGTATTATAAAAATTGTGTAATTTGAGTAAACCTCTTATTCGCAAGAATAACATGAGCAAAAATTGCTCTTATTTGATGATAATAAAGTTTTTTTTACAAATATTTTTTTCGAAAATAACAGAGGGAGAAAAAATCCCAGTTTCTTTTATGCCAAAGTGAAAGATTTTCTCTCCCATTTCTATAGAAGAAGTAAAATCGAAAATAAATGAAAGTTTTGTATAAGTGGAGGAAAATATAAATTATTAAATCAAAAAGATAAGGAGAGCTTAAAAATCTTTTTATGAAAATAATTTGAATCTGTGATGCCAGCTTAAATTGAGAAAGGAATTCAAAGATGCAAACTAACAGTCGCGGCTTGGATTTTTAAAAGGCTCTGAGAGTTTGACTATTCCTAATTAACTGTTAGTCTTTCAGTGCTTGAGAGGTTCAAGAAACTTCCCTAAACAAGGTTGGTGGTCTTTACTTTTTAATCACCTAAGCTGGGACTGTTATCGCTTTTTTGTTTTTACCTTCGAATCCTATACATTGAATGGGAAGAAAGAATGCAGACCTTTCTCGAAATTTTATAAAGATGTCTTTGCTAGGGGATTAGTCAGAAGTAGCAGATATTTAAAAGTAATTTTTTTTTTCTTTTAAAATGATTACTAATATAATACCATATAAAAATTTAATTTCTAATATTATAAGTCAAAATATTTCAGTTTAAGCATCACACAAGGAAAAATAAGTTATTTCTGGAAAGATCAATTGTATAAAAAAAATAATTTGGGATTTCATGTTTTAAAAACAATAGATTCAAATTTAGATTTGCTGCAGAATGAAGTAATTTAGGGAACAGATACTTTTCAGCCATTTTTTTGTAATTTTCAGTTGCTGATTTCAAGAAATTAAAATCTTAATTTTTTTTATTAATAAAGAAATGGCTTATAAATCCTTTTTCAGAATAATTAGGAATAAAGTAATCAACTTAATTAATAAGATTAGAAATTGAATTAATCTTTAATTATAAATGTATTTTCTATTTTGTACCAAAGTAATAAAATGAAAGAGTGAAAATCTTCACTTTTTTTTAATTTGTGCTTTATTATAAAATAGATATTTGACTTTTTCTTTAATTGCTTGATCATTCATGATTAGATATATTGTTAAAATTTATTTAGTTTTCTTCTTTCTTTAGAATTGTTTTAGTTACTTTTTGATAATAATTTAATAAATAGACAAAAATTTTTTGAAACTTTTAGCATCTAATAGAAATTATCTTTATGAAATTAAAATTTATACATGATTCACTAATCAAGTATAAGGTTAATGAAATAGAGTATTTGCAAATTATTTTAAAGCCATCATTCAGCCATATCTCTAATAATATTTATACTTCCTACAAATACCGAATTATAAAGATGATAAGTTAAAAAATATGGTATTAATTTATTCGAAGCAAATCAATTATATGTAGTGATTTTACTTTTTTCCAAAGCTTGTTAAAATTACAGTTTTAGATGATATTTCTTTATTTTTACAAATTATTTGCAAGATATGAGATATTGTTACAGTGTTTTGCAAAAATTTTTTGGATATATTATTCTTCAGTATTGCTTTAAATCCTATATAAGTGTTTAAGAAATGGTATCAATTTAATTTACCATTTTCTTAACTTATTTCTATCTTTTAATCCTCTTTTAAGCTAAATTTCTAAATACCTTCTTCTTTTTTATTTTGGTTCAAATCCTAATGAGGACAGTTTCTGACTTTATTATCCTTATTCTAAAAATTTATCAGCTAAATATTGACGCCTAGGTGTTTGTTAAATTATTCTTTCTAATCCTTTAATTTTCGTTCTAATTTTTTAATTAAAAAATTATCATAATTATAATTGTAATAATTTTGGAAAAATTTTCGACTTCCTTTTGCTTCTCTTTTGGCAATTAGCCTTCGTTTTTGTAAGATGTAATTACACTTCCTTATTCTCATTTTTAAGATGTATAGGAAATTAAAAATTACAGAATTTTTACAATTCAAATCTCCTCAGAAACAATATATTAAAGGTTTAAGAAGTAACTTAGAAAACTGATTCTTTGCTAGTTTTAGGATTTTTTTAGATTAGGCTTTTTTATAAAAAATATCAATAGAAGATCACGAGATAAATGAATTCGTTTATAGCATACTAGATAAAAACTTTCATCCTCTTTATTAAAACAATACACTCTTTCTGATATTAGTACAAAAAGATTTATTAAACTGATAAAACTCCTCTCTATCTTTGAGTTTTTCAAAATGTATATTAAAATTTAGAATATCAATTTTTTTTCCCCACCATTTTTTTAAAGTATAATATCTAATTTTTCTTTTTTAATTAGTTGAGGTATTTCATTTTTATTTGCATGTTAATAATAAATAGATAAAGGAGAAAAGAAAAATAACATTTAAAAATTTATGATGAATGAAGAGACTAAATTAGATGGTCATAGTAATGAAGTCAACTCAGTCTGTTTCTCTCTTGATGGAAATACATTTACTTCTGGTAGTTGGGATAACTCTATCCGTCTATGGGATGTCAAAACAGGATAATAAAAAGCTTAATTAGATGGTCATAATGATTGTATCAACTCAGTCTGTTTCTCTCCTGATGGAAATACATTAGCTTCTGGTGGTTGGGATAAGTCTATTCGTCTATGGGATGTCAAAACAGGATAATAAAAAGCCAAATTAGATGGTCATACTAGTGGTATATTGTCAGTCTGCTTCTCTCCTGATGGAAATACATTAGCTTCTGGTAGTGGTGATTAGTCTATCCGTCTATGGGATGTCAAAACAGGATAATAAAAAGCTATATCAGATGGTCATAGTGATTCTATTAGACCTGTCTGTTTCTCTCTTGATGGAAGTACGTTAGCTTTTTCTAATCATGATAACTCCATCAGTTTATGGGATGTTAAAACAGTATTAATGATATTAGATTAGTCTGCTTCTCTCTTGATGGAAATACATTAGCTTCTAAAAGTGGAGATGGCTCTATCCGTTTATGGGCTGTCTAAACAGGATAAGAAATTAAAGACTTAAATAATCGATATAACGAAATATTGGAAAATTGCACGATTTAGTTGTTATAAAACAACCCTTTTACAGGTATTTAGTATTTATATTTTTTAGTTAACACTATTATTCCTATTCTCTGTATATCCTAAACACCAATCTTTTAAGCTAAAGAAGCTCTTGTCCTAAATGGAGAGTTTATTAATTAGTAAGGCTACGATTTAAGATCGTTATTAAAATCAAGATGTTGTATTTTGGTAAACAAAATGCAACAATGACATTTTATTATTTTTTAGAAAATTATAAATATATACTTAAAGTATATTTCTTATATTTTTTTTTT